CGTATTAATCATCAGAACAGGATAATCACACGGCACCACCGACGTTGATCGCACGCGACACGCACTTTACTATCGCATCGTCGTCACGGAGAAGTAACGCGAGAGAAAAGATGACCGTGATTTTTTCGCGCTATACCGAAGAACTGCAATTATTCGAAAGAAAATATAAAATTTCGAAATTTATACCGCACGCGCGACATATTTTTAACTCTAGAATCCGTAAAATAAAATAATCCGTGCGTTAATAAATGTGATCGACCACGTGCAAATTGTAATGTGTCACAATTTTCCATTTTCTAAATCGCTCGATCCGGCCATTCGTATATATATTACTTCGCGCTATCAATCCGAAAATAACGAGCAAATTTCATTCGTTTTAACGACGTATTCAAAGAGCGACATACACGAGATACATTGGAAATAAATCCTTGAGAAAAAATTACTACCCGTGCAAATAAAAAAGATTTACAATTTTCGCCTATTGTAGCTTCGCTCCGCGACGTACGAAATAACTGTATCGCGCGATACACTTCGACAAATAGCCGATACGTTTATTGCATTCGTCAATCGCGGAAGCGTATAAGTTAATTGAAGCGTGCCGGCCGACAGCCGCTAATTGTACGTATAAAGTAATTGAGCTTCGATGGATAATGCGAAGGCAGGCGGAGCGACTTGCGCCCGTTACCTGGTCGCTCGAGTATTACCGCGTGAATGACAATATGTATTACAAGGCGCGCGGCGACCTTGGGCGCGAGGTCGAAACGAAACAAACATCAAGGTCGCGCGCCAGCCAGCTAGCCAGCCAGCCAGCCTCGTCGCCGAGGAAATGTTTAACGTATTATAAAATAATTGCGAACGCTAATTCCCTCCTTTTCAAATCAATTATCGATACGCGATCGATGCAACGCGGCTTCTCGTTATCGGAACGACTCGATTTGACGTATTATTTATAATACTCGCGTTATCAGCCGCAAAATAACGGGTAAATTATATTTAAATAAGATTATAGTTTTATCTAAAGCTAAAAAAAGATAACTTTCCTTGTATTTATCTTGCGTCTTTTTTGTGAATTTCTTTTTTTTTATTCTTTAACAGAAACGCAATTATAAATATTATACGAATTCAAGAAATGTATCCGTTAAGTTTGTTAAAGAATCGAAGAAAATCATTAAACCACACATCGTCGTCTGCATTCTACTTGCCAGAGTGATGCTAAGAGAACTGTCGAAACGGTGCAAATAAGCCGAAGAAGCGCGTGTACAAAGGAATTCTTTAACGATTTATTTTCGGACCTCGCCCTTGAACGACAGGAAAAAAAATTGCTCTAAAAATATAGTAGGCGAACGCGGGAGTTTTGTTTACGGGCCGTGAAACATATTGATCACAGCGTGGTAACGGCTTACCGTATACCTATCTCCAGGCTGCACTTATACAGCGCATACAGAGTCCGCGATATTAAAGTCGACCGTGTTAAAGCGATTTTTAATGCATACATAGTGCCGCGCATTTTCGATCGAATCAACCGATATTACCGTATTTACCGTAATGATGAGTGCAACCATTACCATAAATTGCAGTACATATCTTAGCGTCTATATCGAATCGTCAATTCGTACTCGTGATCGACGAAAAAATTCTCTACAGCGAGAAGTGAGTTCGGAAATTTCGTGAACGATCAGATAAAAATACTGTCAGATAATAACATTTTTTTCGATTCAATAAATGATAAATAATAAATATATTTTCGTCATATAAAATTACATCTATCTCTAATTTAACTTTCATTCAAATATCGGTTGTCTCGAGTTGAAGCAACAGCGGCGTTAATTTTACGTAAAAGTTTTATTATGCCGCACTTCAAATAAAGCTTTATACAAACTCTTTTTATCTTACGCAAGATTTTTATCCTACGTAAAATTATCCATATGTTAATCCTGAATGCTTCAATTTATTTATTCAATTTCTCAAACAAAAAAAACGCGCAATATCGAATCAAGAGATACGTGAGATTTCAGCCCATTCTTACAAAATGATATCTCGGTATTATATGATCACATTTATCATCGATGACATAAACAGGTTAATCATTAACAGTTGCATAAGTTGATAAACTTTCTGTAGAAATAAGTCGTCGCAAAAAACGATCCCGGAAGAAAAAATCATTTCTAATAGATTTAATCATCAATCTTAATCTACTATTAAACCGCGTATTTTATTACTTTTTTATAACCATTGAAGACAATTCAGATTTTCCATAATAATTTTCGAAGAACCTAATAGATTGTATCAAGCAACTGTCTCTAAAAATCTAGTCTGATTTTCTTATTTTCGTTATTTTCATAATATTCGATATTATGAAAATTACATAAATGCGATAAAGCCGAAAACATATATTAGACATAATCTAGAAAGACGCGTCATTCGTCATTAATCAACGATCTATTTAAACATTTATCAATCTTTTCAATAAGTAAAATAATCAATTCAACGATCTTTCCTAAAAATTGTTTTAAGATTATATAATGACATAATATCTCTGATATTTATACATGTAACAACGTTAAACAGCATTTAACACGTAATAATTTTATACGTTGATTAAATAAATAGTAACAAGCGGCTTCAGCTATTTTACGTCGATTAAATAAATATTAACAAGCTTCATATATTTTTGAGCGAAACGTTAGCAATAGACTACTAAATTATGCTTTATTGAATTTCGGATTATATCAGGAGACGCGATAGCGGCTCCCGCCAAGTAATTTTATATATTAACTCTCTAGCAGAGAGAAATCGTTTAAATTATGTATTTAATTGAGATTCTTTGAATTTCTTGCGCGTCTGTATATTTTATTATAATTTCATTTTATATACGAGAGATTATATACTTTTAGTGTTTGAATTTATTCGTGCAACACATTTCTATTAACAAAAAGTTTATGAATATATTTTCTTCATAATTAACGACTGAAATCAACAAGGAATCGCCAGATATGGGCCAAAACATATCGGCACGCAGATCGAAACGTGGACGATGTACTCACCACTTCGACGTGCATTCGCGCTCTCGCAGACGCGCCTCCTCTTCACGATACACGCACGATATTCGCTCGTCGCATATCGCGGATCTCTTAATTCGCAGTCGATGCAACACGAAGTCATAGTTCGCCAACAAACAATTTTTGCAAGTTCGGGAAATCCTCAACGCCGCCGACACGTTCTCTTTACTACCGGTAAGAAGTCCGAGTCGTCGAACCCGCAACGACGACTCGGACTTCGCGTCGCGAGTCCTCGTCATCTCTCATCCGAGCGTCACTTCGATCACTGGCGCGATTCGCGCGTCGCACGAAATTTCGATCGATGCGGAAAACATCTTGTTGTCAAGAGTTTCGATACTTCCATTTTTGCACTCTCTCTCTCTTTCTCTTCCGACCGCGATGAGAGAGATTCGACGTTTCCGTCGTCGAAGATTCGCGCAGCAAGAATTCTTGTTATCGACTTTCGCGCGCAACCAGAGAAGTCGACGAGAAATTATCTACTATTTGGCAACGACGGCCAACACAGATCGACGAGGCGTATCATTACACGGCGCGATAAGACGATGCACCTATTATAAACACGCAACGGTGACGCTGAACGATATGAAGAATACGGAGAACGAGTACGATTTTGTTGACAGAGAGTGCCGCGGAAAGAGGTAACGCGGCGCTTATCAGACGCGACGCGCCGACTGTTTGTTTATCATTTGCCACGTATACCCTGGCCGTTACTCCTCGAGGTAAGCACCTAACTGCATTGTTACGCGTCAGTTATACGTACAAGAAGGAAGAGTTATCGACTCGAGTTCGCTTGTCACGATAGCTAGATTGTCTCACGGTGATATTTACAGTAAAATATTGCCATCAAATAGTTTGATCGCCATCAAATAGTTTGATCGTCATCAAATAGTTTTGATACTTACCATCAAAACTTTGCATTTGTTTTTATATTCTCGTAATAAAGATAGGATGGTAAGCTGTTATTTATTCAACGATTTTAAGCTTCGATACTATATGTATCTTGATAGTCAAGTATTTTGAATTAATTACTGTGCATGTAAAAACTTTTGCATAGAAAGATATTTTCGATCTAATTTATATATACATATATAACACAATTCTTTTATTAATATAATAAAAAAAGTGGCATCTTCGATAAAAAAATTTAGTAACATTTTTCGAAAATTATTAAAATTTAAGTAACTATTTCTGAAAATTATTGCCACTTTTCATTTATAAATATTATTTTTCATTATTTTATGTTATTATTAATAATTTATGATTATAAATTTATTTTGGCGTGTGCCTTAGAAGCCTACAGAACAGTATTGCGATTAAAATATCGCTCACAGCAGAAATCAGAATGATGTTGCATAAGATTCAGCAACTTATGAGATTTGCCATGCTATTTATACTGTGAACTCTTTGTCGCACACGAACATGTGTCGATTAGAATCTAAGCGACTGCGTCTCGCTCACATGCAATTCATTCATAAAATTGCCGTTCGCCAAGAGAGTGAACGTCTCGTCAATACATACGCAAAGTGTTCTTTGAATGCCTAATCGGTTGATCTAATCTTAGATATCCACTCATCGAAACCGTCTCGATTCTAATAAACTTAACGCTCCTGTGATTATGATTAATAACATCTCTGGTCATTTACTTCTGACTAAGCCGTTCCCAACGTTGATTAAAGTCAACCGATATTTAAATTAGTATCCGCTTCCTTGTAATCTTTTACCCTCTAAATCTGAATCAGTGGACAATGAAGTTAAATTTCGCCGATTACCTGCAGCGACATACTTGGGACTGATGCATTCAATGAACAACCATTGATAATCAATGACTATATCCACTGATTCAGATTTAGAGAGTAATAAATTGATTCAATTAAAATATGGGAAACAGCAGCCGCGGTCTGCAAGTCTCTCGAATCGCCGATACTGTTTGACAGAACTCACCCATTGATGATGGAAGCGGATTCATCGGCGTTTGGTGGGCCCGACACCTGGACTTTGGGCACGGTGTAACCGTCCGGGTTCTGTCCGTAACCACCCGCATGACCTTGCTGCTGCTGATGGGCGGTGGTGTAGTCATCGCTGTCGCTGCTCGGCGGTTGCTCCGACCCGACACCGCCACGAGGTCTGCAATGAAACGAGCCACCGGGTATTGACGGGCGGATGAACGAGGGACCGCGACAGATTTTGTTTCGCCGCCGTGCCGTGCCGAGAGGCGCGGCCGCACGTGTCTCGCGTGTCGATTCTGCGTAAAATTCCTGTTTCGCGAAATTTTCACCATGTCGTCGGGAGTATAAATACGCGGATGTAACGCCGATATATATGCACTCGAACTGAAAACCGCCTCGCCTTTCTAACAGTATTCAACCAGGCTGGTTAAACTCTATTCCGTTCTCCTGCATTTTCACCGATCGACGGAGGTCGTGATCTCGACTCGGTTTTACAAGCTTCGCGACGATTGCCTTTGCAATGCGGACGCGTGGATTTTAAATCGCCGAATTACTGTCGCGATGTACGACACAGCCGTACGATAATACAATGCCAACAGATGTGTATTGATCCAGTTAGAGGCGAAAGATATACATATAGAGCGTCTCTGGTGCATCTAGCTTATATAATAATTTTTTCCTGAAAAAATTTCCTATAGGACATATTTCGTACGTCTATAACGTATTTAATATGTATGGTTAATCCAAAAAAATGTCATAGAAATTAAACTACGAAATAATAATATATACTCTTGTTACGAAGTAATTTTTACCGGAAAATAGTAAAGGAATGTAAAATATATGCCAATAGTATCGGAAATAAAGACGGATAATTTTGCCAAGCACACATTAGACTTGCGCAGACTTCTGAGTTTGAAACTAGATCGGAAATACTCGAGGCGTGACGACAGGCAAACGTCACGATCAGCTGTCGCCAGAAGCGTGACGAATCCCATCGCGATGCGGATCGGGAAATTAACTGGTTGAGTTAACCGAGCCGCGAGTTAATCGACTCTATCTCACACGGACTGAGAACACAATAGGTATGTGTGCTTGGAACGGGAGCAGCGTGGAAAGATTCCTATCTCCCGTGAAACATACTCTTTATACTCTAGAGCAATTGCTGCTTGTAAATCGGATCGCTCGGCTTCTTTTATTAGGCGTTATTTGAATCCTGCTCAGAACACTTATCCGCTATTCGTATAATATCTTAATTAAATCGCGAAAGCGAAATTTGAAAGGCATATAAAACGTGACGTTGAAATAATATTTTAATTGCGATGCTATAAAATGACAGTTTTATTATAAAATAAAATTTTAATTAAAATGTAAGATTAATGAGAAAAATTTTAAACTTTCGCGTTATTATTTTTTAAGAGACAATTAAAATAAATGTTGACTTCTCACTGACAAATTCATAATAAAATTTACAAATGAAAAACAGTGTTTTAATTATCTTCTAGAAATTCAATTTTTCTTTTCTCTCGACAGCCGAACGTAAAATTTTTTCCAGAAAAGAAATTATTTTGTGATAATTCTATGTAGAATAACCAAACGTTAAATCAACATCTTGACTCCAATCTATATTTTAACAATTCAGCGTTTGCATCGTCCTTTCCTTTCTCCTCTACTTTGAGTTTCCGGATCCTCGCGTCATCCATATATCTCGCGGAGCACAAGATTACAGGATCGATCGTTCTCGAACTCTCGCTGGCATTCCGCCAGTGCAGGCGCATTATTGCGAAAGTATATTTCCAGAATAGCAATATGTACACGCGATAATGAATGAAAGAGAGAAGAAAAACGCAGATATTTCGCGAATCCTCAGACTGCTCTACCATGATAGCCTATATCCTTCGTCACGTCGAGAGTGCCCGTGACAGGACAAATGTGCGTTTATCGCACAACATTGCGAGGCATTCGTCATGTCAGGAACAAAAGCCGGGGCCCTTTCGCCCCGCGCATTTAGAACGCAACGATTTCTCCAATTTCACATTTCCCGGCGAAGCGTTCGCATTCACGCGCGAAACGCATTGTTCGCGCTAAACTCGAACTACTTTTGCACGGTATATACGTTTTATCGCGATAAATCACGAAGGGAATTGGAAGTGCATTTAGTAGTTGCCAACAGTGCTAACGTTGCGCGCTACAAATTTTCACATTGAACGGGATTATTTATTTCTTTTTATTTGCGAGCGCGGGCCACCCAAAGTGGAATCGCTGCGCTACGTAGAAGCCATGCAACTGTGCATCTACGTCTGTCAGGCGACAGTATATATATATATATATATATATATATATATATATAGTCGAGTAACACTCGGTATTTATATATTTACTCGTTCATCTCCATTAACTCTCCATTTTTCACAATATAACTGGCTACTCTAGCAAGGACGTGATCCATCTCTGACCCGCGATCCTTTCAGTCCGGCAAGGACTTCGCGGTGTCGATACCGATCGTCCGACTGCAAATTAAAGCCGCATGCATAATCGCAAGCAATAAATGTTGACATGACTGCGAAGAAAATCGAGTGAAAGCCAAGCAATGTGCATACAATGTCCATACTTATGCAACGATGGCGCGCGATAACAATAGACGACGACAGCGTTTAGGACGAGAGATAAGACGAGGCTGAAGAGTTCAGCCCGCTTCTTTTAAGAAGCACTTCTTTTAAGAAGTTTCAAAAACTTAAGGATGTTAATTTAAATTTAATGATTCCAGTTTCAAGATCGATCTTCTCTTAAGAAAGCAATTAGATCGCATCTCTGCAACGAATGTTTCAATGATGCAAATAGTCTCCTCCCAGATTACTCCTGCTTTTTCTCAGAAGCATTGCCAGTGCATCTGATTATAAAGAACTTATTAAAGCTACGATTTATGTCAATCGATCTGGGCCAAATGCAACGAATTATAATAGTATAGTTATAATTACATAATCTTAATGAATATGACGATCGCGATTCAATTGACCGGAGCTAGACTGAATTCGGGGATTCTACATTGTCTACATTTGACACTCTCGGCGTTGACACGCGTGGCAACTTCGGTCGCACCTGCGGTGAGTGCTATCGTAGCTGGCAGTCCAGTAGAGAGGCGCCACTGTCCCGCGTTATCGCTGCTCACGGCGGTGGACACATGCAAAGCCTCCTCCTGAGCTGAAACTGGGTCTTGCCCCACGCGAAGCGCAGCTTCAATTATGCCAATCTTGCCGCATCCTCTTTCCGCTTCTCGCCGCCGCCGACGACGACGGCGAGTCTAACGGCGAGCGCGAGGACCGCTCTCGCAGAATCTTAGGGCCCGCGCGCGCGGCCCTGGACGTGACACTCTCCCTTATCAGCTGATAACACCTCTCTCTCCTCCACTGTATCCTCCGAGAAGTATATCTCTCCCTCAGAACCGACGACGGCCGGATCTCCCGCTTCGAGATTCCCGAAACGTAATCCTCGGCCTTCTCGAGCCTCCTCTTCCTTCCCGGTCCTTTCGGCTGTCACTGAGAGCAGCGTCTCACCGAAGACCCGGAGACTGCTTCCCGCAGATGTCAGGCGCTCCCCTCGAGAGAGAAGACGCGACGACGACGACGACGGCAGAAGAGAACGACGCGAGCGACGTCGCTGCTCCTCGCCTCGACAATCCCGGACGTAATTCCGACGACGAGAGGAGAAATACGGCAATGCGGCGCGAAGCGTGTACGCGCTCGTGCTCCACTCTCCGCAGCAACGGTCTCGGCAACGCTTTCGCGGGCGTACGTGTGGCCACGGTGCGGTGATGTGAGCACGCACACGCGCATACACACACACATACACACAAGCGGACGGGAGCGACAGGCTGGTACCGCCGCGTCTGCGCCGCGCGGCTCACCTATTGACCGAATATCATCGCGATAGCTATATGTATAGCCACGATAGTGGTGCACACACCAGCAACGAGAAACGGCGCGGTGGCGGCGGGCTAGCCGTGTTCGCGGGAGCGGTTGCTTCGAGGTGAATCCTGCGGCTCTCGCTCTCGCTCTCTCGCGACTTCCTTCGCCGAGCGGCGTGACCGCGATGGCGATCAGCTGATCGCGACCGATCGTTCTCGAGGAATTTGCAATTGTCAATCGGGGGCGCGAACTTGTCCGTTCTCCTCTCTCGTTTCTCGGCGTCCCGGCGTATATCCCTGCACGTGAATCCACCTTTTCGCTTTTCCAGTTTCTATTCGTTCCACGTCGAGAGTGGCTGCGCGATAGCGCGAGATTTCAGGGAGGTTCGATAATATCTTCACCTTCCACCTTTCACTCCTACGGGATACTCATAACGCGATCAATTTTTCAGCAAAAGGCCGCAACACACCGTCTCCCTTTCTGTTTTTTTTTCTCTGTCAAGTCTCTGGTCGAACTGCTATCTTTTTGTCCTGGTTTCCTTTTTTTTTTTTTTTTTTCTCACGACGGAACACTCATCCGCCTGTTAACGCCGCAACGCTCTTGGTAACGTCAATATTTTCCCTCGCCCCGTCTGTTTTTCCTATTACGTATACATCCGTGAATTTTCGCTATGGATAATCCCTAAGGATATATTATCTTTACACTATATATATTGTATATATATATATATGGCATATTTCTCGAGAGACCTGCAGCCTCTAACTTGGCATCCAATTTCAGTAAACTCCGGAGAGAATTGTATACCTTGGTTGAATTTAATTTTTCGATATTACGAGATAATGGTAAAACGCCGGCTGTTTACAGCGGACACCACCCTCTCGTCCCTCTTAAACTTCCTGTTATTTCGCGACAGGGCGGGAGCGCATCGACAACGCGCCGTGTGCCACACCGGCATATTTAATTGCCTCACGAGAGACTCTCGCGACGCGAAAATGACTTCCTCGTTCGAAGGAGGGGCCGTTCGCAACCCGCACGCTCGCTCGTTCGTTCCCAAACGCGGATCGCGGAAGTCCGCCGACATCGCTCCGACCCGACAAAGAAGGGTCGGCCGGCCATAGGCAGGAACACGCCGGAGCGTTCGTGCAGCGAGGGGTGTAGCTCGGAGTGTCGTTCACACAGCAATCAAGCGCCATTATAATGCACGCGCTACCGTGTAAGAAAAATCGGTATTGTAAGAATTTTTGTCTTGTTCGCCGGTTACGACACAATGGCGTTGCAAAACGTCTTGTGTGTGAACGACACTTCATCGAGGGACAATTATTTCCGACAGACGCGAGTCAAGAGTGCGTCACGGGAGAGGAAAGGGTAATCGGGGCTATTCTTTTCGCCTCAATCCCGGGCTGGAACGTGGGCGGAAACGTGCGTCCCGATCCTGACCGACGGGATCTTTTTTTTTTTTTCACGTTTCCTCCCGCGTTACGTCATACCTGGGTTGCGCGATCAGGAGCGACCCTCGAGCCGGTCCGCCCAGCATCCCGTTCCGTTCTCGGTGCGGGATCCTCCTCTACAATGTCGCCTTGACCGAGTAAACAATATCACGCCGATCGAGTCACGTCTCGGTGCGGAATCGGGGCCGATGTAATTCCGATGAGTTCAGATTCCGATGCGCTCACCACGCGTGTCATCAAAGATCACCTTTGTACTTATATATTCATGACAACGAGATGATTGACGTGACTTCACCGACGCGACGACGTGCGAAGTCTGTTTTTCCTGCGCTCGCCACCCCCGCGAAAAGCTAAACTCGACGAAGATTAATATCCGTACGTGAAGCCACGTCGATCCCCCTGACGCGCGTGGAAGAGAAAGGACGGAAAGTGCCGGAAATTGCGACTTACGTGGGCATGGACACGGCAGGACATCCAAGCTGCAGGAGGCTCCTGGCGAGATACTCCGGCGCAGGTGCGTCACTCGCGGCGTCAGGTACGTATCGCCTGGCGGACCGGAGCGCTCTGTTGTTCTCGCCACCGCCGCCGGCGCATCTGTCCGACGACAACGACGACGTGGCCGAGGACGACGTGGAGGCCGCCGACGTCGACAACGACGACGGCGACGACCTCGTGCCCGTCAGGCGTTCCCGTGCGGCGGGATGATCGTCGCTCGTCCGTGGGATCCGCAGGGAGCCGCCGCGACGCAGGCCTAGCTCGCTCTCTGAAATTTTAAATTCGCAATCTACGATTAGTCACTACTTGTGTCAATGATTGACGTGGGCCGCTATTATCGTGTCAATCGCAAAAGTGAAAGCAATCCGCGAGGAATGATTGGGAAATCTAGGCAACGTAAAAGTGTTATTATAAAATTTCTCTTTCACACTATACAGACTCTCTTTCAGACTATACAGAACTATGGGATCTCACGGGTTCTTAATTCTTTTAATAACAAGACACTTGTCGAATAAATTAACATTTAACATATCGCTATCTTTTCCCAGAAAATTATTCAAATTGCTTTTTAATTCAAGTCAGATTCTTATTTTTAAAATGCAGTGTTAAGTGAAACTTGGCGATAAAATTCCGAATGGAAATCCTCACTCTCTCCTATTATACTCCACGAAGGATCACACTTAAGTAACTTATCTGGACGAAGTGTATATATTTTTATATCAAGGTATATATACTTTTACGTCATACTTCGAAACAGACAGAAATAACATCCGTAGATCGCTTGTGTTCTTGTCACTCGCGTTGTCGCGGAACTTTCCCGCAAAAGCTACCGAAACATTGCACCGCGTGCAACTTTCTCCTTCGCGTGCAGCTCCTGTGGAAGAAGTCACTCCGACGACGAACGCAACAAATTGCTATACGCGATTTGTCGGTTACGGGACAACCGGAATTCAGAAAGGAGCGATGGAAACGAAACGCACGCCAGCAACGCACTCCTCGTCGTCCGGTCCCGTCGCGCTCACTCGTCCTCGTCGTCGACGGCTCTAATGCGTTTAAAAACCTCCGATCGCGCGTTACGTCAACCCGTATATTAACGGCGCGCCGCGTCTCCGATATACTACCTGCATTACGTGAGCGCATTACGAACGCAGGGTGCCTTTAGCTTAAGTGACTTAAGCCACGGTGTCGAACGCGACCCCCCGGCTTACCCTGTATTATCTGGAATACCCGCAGAGCCATGTTAGCAAAGATCGAGTCGCTGCCGACCGACGATCCCCAACGAGATCAACCAACACCCTTTTCTTCTATAAGTATCACAAATTCTTGAGAAAAGCGCGATCAATTGATCTTTTAAGATACTTCAAAAATATTTCAGCTATACGAATAAATGATCTAACATAAAGAATGCGAAATCAAGAAAAATTAAAACAGAAATTGAAACGGTAAAAAACTCACTTCGGTGAGTTTATAAGAATTGGTCATAAATCACTGAAATAAATTCATGCTTCTGTAAAAGCGGAAAGATAAAAATTTTATTTGAATTGTCGAAATTATAGATGGATAAATCGGATTCCAATATAAAATGTTGGGAACAATTGGACGAGATGTATATATCATTTTTTAATATAAAAATTTGCAATTCATTCATTATTCATTCATTACCTAACGAGAAAAATGAAACATTTTTACCATAAATTACTATTTTAATTAACTTGTAAGATGCTGAAGTAATAAATTCTATTCTATTCTATTTTAATTAACTTTTCAATTTTAACAATAGAAGTAATACAAATGTCCAGAATAATTTTACGCCATGCAAAAAGAGCTGCTAAAACCAATTGGAAAAAAAGAAAATAACTTTTGAATTATAATTTTAATGTATACACATAAGAATTATATATTAATTACTATTGTAAACATTAAATAGCTCTAAAATTATTTTCCATTTAACGCAAGCTGATCTCTCCGCGAAAAGGAATAGTCTTTTATTATAAAATAAATACTTTCCATGTCAAAAATATATAAAATTGAGGCCACCAAAATTATAGGTACCGATTTCGATCTGTAATTCAGCACCGCTGCTAATTCAAGGTGAAGCGAATCAGGGTGAAACGAAAGTGGAACAGACGGATCTATTTTTTTCGCGCAACAGATACTCATTTCACGAATGGTTTAACGAACATTACACGACCTCGTGGCCTTCCGCCCGACAACTGAAAATTCGCGAGTGCGGAGGAGGCGCGCGCGTGCACAACCGGTATCGTCACGTTTTTGGCAAAGTGCCGCGCATCGTTCGGCGTGTCGTGCGGGGAAAACGCCGCATCTCTCGGAAGATTCGCGCCGCGTGGATCGAACATGATTCGCGAATTATTTGCGGCACGGCATGGCATGACAGCGGAATAGTAGGCGGTTCCCAGGAAACCGCAACGTCTCGGAATTCCCTACCATTTCTAGATTCTGGAAATTGTAGGTAGGTCGAAGAAGAACGACGTACTTCGTGGAATTTACAAAGCTTTGCGGACACTAAACCGGAAAAGCAAAATCCAAAAAAATATAAACTATGATTCACAATGATATCGCAAAGAATTTCAACACGAGAAATTCATTGGCACAAATTTAATTTCTTTAACTGTATGTTCGTCGAATGTATATAATGTTCCGATAAAATAAAAAACACATTAATAACCAAATGAAAAAACTGTAGAGATTTAAAAAAAGCTATAATATATGTCTATTTCTTATATACATGTCTATAAGAAATATAAACTTTTAATAATAACTTTTAATAATAATAAAATTTGAAACAAAATCACATCGAATGATTTTTGCATTAATACAATCTTAATTTCCTGTTATTCAAAATTCATTATTCATTATTTTAATAATTCCTTTAAACGAAATTTTTTTTTAATGTTGCGCTATTCCTTATTATTTAAAAATATTTGATAGTAGATTGCATTACATCTGTTATAATTTTCTGTGAGACGAAACTCTGATAGGATTCTAGTCAAAATGTATTTTGTACAACACAAAATTTATGAACACTTATCGATCTATTTTCCTTTGTGTTCATGCTGGTATAAATTCACCGCCATTATCTCACGTTATCCATTACAATTAATCTATCCGATAAACATTGATCGTATTCTAGGCAAGGGTGATCGTTTATAATAACCAAACAATTTATCTTCGATATTAGAACGAAAGTAGCTCGCTTGCGTAATTATGTTTAATTGCTGCCGTTAGATGCAGCTGCTGCTTTGAGAGGAGCGATAAACGCCCGCGATTTCGTCATAGATGTGTTGAAATAATTCGACTCAGCATGCGGTAATAAAATTTATAAATAGACATTGAACTGAAAAAGTGATATAACTACAGTTATTTTACTTCATATCATTTTGAAGAACAAAAAAAGAACTCAGAGGAAAATCCTAAATATAAAATGTAATCATTTCACGAAAATATTTCTATATATGATCTTGCCGTCTATAAATTCAATAATTATTTAGTGACTTAAGTAATAAAATATATATTCGGCGTTTCGTAGAAATAACGTTAAACTATTTCTACAAAATATAACGTTAAATATTTTGTAATAATCATCTATGGATCTTAATGTTGATTTAATAACACGTAGCCTCCCACACAAAAATGCTTTCCCTGTTTTTTTTTATCTAACTTTTAATTGTATTCTTATTTTCGTTATTATCGTTTCAAGAATACAGAAAATATCAAGAAGCACGGTATCTCGATGCTAAGTTTATAACAGTACATCTACAAAGAGACAAGAACTATTGTCATTTATGCGGTAAGATCGATTCAAGCGAGTAAGTATGTAGGTAGCGGCACGAATTGTTTTGCATTTCGGTGCATTCCAAACGATAATTCTCGTAACGAAGGATCAATTTGCACGATTAATCATCTTACACGATTAGCAATTTGCATGCGTATTAAAATTAAAAAACGATATTCTATCGAAACGGATATTTTGCGTAATTTATTTATTTCAACCGAAAATTAATTCAATTAAACAATCAGAATTATAAATTATAATTTCGTCACAATAACTTACGAAAAATTATTACTTCGAATATATTTCACGACGTACAATATTTTAAATATTTCATCAAATTAAATGCCTTACTTATCGTTCTTCATCGATAACGCGCGGACATAACGTACAAATCGCTTGATCAAGTGTCACGGAAAGCCGCGATGTCGAACGTTTGGTGATAATTAATTCGAAATGTAATAATAATCGGCGCACAATTATGTAAGAATAACGTTAGTAACGGCTGTTTTTAACGTGCGACTACGCAAGGACACCGCGCGGGCGTATGGTATTGTTCGCGCCGCGGTATTGTTGTCGTTCGTGCGTCGGCAGACAGCGGCGGCGGCGACGCGACGCGACGCGGCGCGGCGCGAGCCGCTCCGCACGTGTCATTTAACCATCGATACGCGATCGCATCAAGTGCGGGGAGCGAAACCGAACGCGATTATTTCCGAGCGAGCAATTAGCTCGACTATCAATCGATCCAATTAACCGACTCCCGCGGCGACCGCAAGTTTCGCGACCAATTTTATCGAAACGAATATTCCACACAGTTTATTCGTTTCGCGCAAAAGTCGAAGAGATATGGAAGAGACGAGTATTGTAAAGCATTGTTTTATACTGTTATATTTATACGCGCGCGGGCGTAATAATTTCTGAAAGATACTTGCATTTGAATGTATGTATTTTGCATCATGTCTTGAATTCCTCGCTCGTTTGAACGCGGAGTTCGTTCGTCGAATTGAGACCGTATAATACATAAATCGCCGGCTATATATATTAAATACCTCGAAACACAGTATGCATTCGTTGTGTTAATCCTCGAGATTTGCGCGTGTCGCGAATTATTTGTTTCATTTTTTTTTTGTTTTTTTTTCGTATTGTTTTGGCGACCGCGTTTTAATTGAGATTCCGCCGCGCTGTGAAATAAAGTGCGCGTATAATCGCGTGCAAATAATATTGGGAGTGCCGCGCAAAGTGTGAGCGATTATTCTACCGCGCGATGATTAATACGCGCGATACCGTAATTAACCGTGGTTTTGCGAGTGCAACGAGTGAATTAATAAAAGGAAGAAGCCTGGGAGTTTTAATTCGCAGTCACAATCCCGCTTGCTACGCGTCATATCAGTGAGTAACATATTAACTCTCTTTAAGCTGTCTTATCTCAATTTATTTATTTTACTTCAAATCATTGCTGTGTATTACATCACCCGCATATAATAAGGATTATATCGTATATTTAGAAAATTCTTTCCGGGGCAGGATAAGTTAATGAAAAGAAACAAGAGTAGAAATAAATAAATATTCTACTCTATATATTCTAATTGTAGCGATCGTGGCGCAGAGAATTGTGCGCCTGCTTTCGGTGCCAAAGACCCGAGTTCAAATCCGACTATAGAAACAGCGGATTTTTATTCGATCGCTACCTCTCGGAAGTCAGTGGTAATCCACCGAGAGTAATATAATCTTGCAGGCAAGCTAAGAGCTGGACATTGTCCAGCAGTGGACGAAAAAGAGCTGTTTGATTGATATGTTCTAATAAAAAAAATAAAATCAAAACAAAAGTAAGGAGAAATTATACATTATTCATTTCTCTTTCACGAGAAAAAGAATGAGTAATATATAATTTGTTCTTATTGTTAGTTTTGTTTTAAATGTTTTTCTCTTTTGCTTTAAATTATATGTATTTAAAATAATATTCCGTGAACGATTCGAACGGATCTCCAAAAATATTTGAAAAACGTTTTCATCTGTTCCGTGTGATGTATATAGAAAGAAAAAAACACATTTATTGCGTGGGAAAGTAAATGTTTTCCTCCGAGCGCGAGTTTTCTCAAGAGGACAGGCAAATGTGCAGTTTTCCATCTATAGAAAATTGCACATTATTTAGATAAAAGCTTAGACAGAAAGGTCGAAGTTCGCACGACCATAATAATGTCTCATGTCGAGATGATATCGGCGGTGTATGCCATATACATATATATTTACCCCATATACATTTTCGATTCAATGCAAACAGATACGATCCGTCAGCTGTCATTGATTCAGCGGGAGCTCAGTTTGCCGATTGCATATGCGAATCAAATCAGAATTAATGCATATTAAATTTCCATGTGTGCACGATTCTCAACTATCCGCTATCATGTACCTATGACGTATATCAACGTGCAACTTGATTATGTTTAGTATCAAGTTAGAACATAAGTTTCTTTTCGTCGAGTTAAATAAAAAATATAGATAATTGTATTATAAAATAATGTAATGCATAAAATACATGCATGTAATGTTATAGAAATGAGATCTTACTGTAAGCAATAAAATAAAAATATTCATAATTTTTCAAAATACTAATATATAGACAAGTAGCTCATTACAATGCGTCATTAAGTAGCAAGAAACGATTCTTTATTAACGAAGTTTAATGTTAAAAAATACACGAGAGAATCGTTTCTATCTTCAACCAAGCGAATTCTTTCTTTGAGATAAATGTAATACGGCAAGAGCGATAAATCAAATTAAAGGTATTAGTAAGTTTCTCTCTTTCGTGTATTTTCAAATTATTTTTGTACCTGATGGGCAATGTCGTCGCCTGCACTTGACCGCGGTTGAACGCGAACTCGACGGTTTTACGATTACAGTGACTCGGTTGGGCGCGCGGAGCCGGGCTCGTTTGCAATAATTCGGTCAGCGTGACGTCAGTTATCAGACGGTTGCCAGACGAAATCGCGTCGTTTAATGTCGGAAATTCGCGACACGCGTATGCAAACAGAGACGCTCGCAATGTCCAAAGATAAAATAATCGAATGTCGAGGACTTAGCGCCGAGGTGGAGCCGAGGGTATACGGTCGTTATCCCGACGCGTCACGTTGGATTTCGAGAGAATGTCGTCGGGAGACTTGGGGAAAATAGCTCTCTTCGTCGATCAACGTAAATCCCGTCGGGGAGACTTCGAGCAGAGCCGATATAAAAGTGGATTTTATGAAACCCTCCGCGGAACCTTGAGACGAGTGATTCAAAACGAAACACATATCGCGGTTTCGTGCTTGTGTTTTGGCGCCCGCCAAAGATTAAAGGAGCGGAACGAGCACTTAGGCGTGAAAATGTTGGCCGGCGACGAAGTCAAAGTTGATCTCGCAGATCAAATGTAAATGATTTTCAAGTTGCGTAAGTTTTGGACAGGTTTTTTAAAAAGATATCGGTTAATATTTCTATTAAAATTCCACGTGTGGCGTTTCTACGTTGCCAAGGCTAACCACTGCCAAAATTGTACCCATAAACTTTATTCAAAATTATCTATCAATGTTTGCACGCTAAAAGAACAGAGATATATGCATATAGTATTTAAATAAAATTGAAATAAAGTCATTTATAATAACATTTAAATAAATTCATTTACATCCATTTAAATAAAATTGCAACTGAATAAAGTTGATCCTTCTCTGAAGATGCGAAGTTCTCTTCGTGACGCAAACACATGAATCACAAATACACGCTCTAACCACCGCCAAATGTTTATACTTCTAGCTATTAATAATCGTATGATGTGCGTGATAACAATCCGCTCACGCGAGAAAATGTAACGTGTTGCTTATGTCATACGTATGATCGTATACACATACACGTCTGATCGTATGTCGGCGTACGTAACATTGCACATGTTCCACTCGACTAGTTTTTTTTTTTCCAAACTCGTGCTTCACTAGGAGAATGAGTCAGAACGAGGCCTGGCGTTTAGGCACTAATTACCTAATTCTCTAAAAAGGAATTTACGTTTCGAATAAAGATACATTGTGTCTTTCTTGAAGGAACTATGCTTGTAAGAACTTTTCTTTGTTAGCATTTGCAATAAACAAAATTAAGATTGGGCGTCTTCAGAGAAAGAACAACTTTATTCAACTGTAATTTTATTTAAATAGATGTAAATAAATTTATTTAAATACATAAAAAACTTCATTTTAATTTTATTTAAATATTATATGCGTATATCACTGTTCTATCGCGTCAGCGTGCGAACATTAAGAATTTTTAATAACAGGAAATAATAAAAAATATGTTTCTTTATTGTGTGATAAGGAGTAATGCTGTGATATTTTTTTCAGGCTTTAACTGTCTCTATTTCTGCAAAGACTTCTTACATTTTTATGTTATTAAATATTCAAATATCTCTAATTCACAAATATAGATGAAAGATAAATTCAATACACAGATTTAATATACGAAATATTGAATTTCTTTCAATCATGAATTCTTTGATAAATTCAAAATATATTTACAAAGAATTCACGCTCTAAAAAATCGATTTACAAAGAAATAGAATTTTTTTCAATTGATTAAAAATTTCAAAAAAAAAAATGATAAATGTAAAGAAAAATATATTCCAAAATCATGAAAAACTTTATGATTGAAAATAAATAGTTTGAGAGTATTTCATATATTAATTTTGAATTGAAATTTTATCACAGTAAAAGCTTATCTATGTATTATTGTAATAGAATTCTCTGATTGCTTTTGAAACGGAATGCTTAATATAGCAAAAGGCAAATATACATGCTCTTTGGTTCCGGAACCTAAAGGATATCGATCGCGATGTGGAAGCACGCAACATTGTGCATCGCACATTGCGAGTAAGAGAATATTTCGTTTCTCATAACTTTCAAACACGATAGAATTTTAATCACATTTCTCAACGCGTGTCAAATATCGAATCACTTTCGACGAATTGCGAATCGATATTTATCACCGAAAATAATTATCGTTACATATTGTAAGTAATTAATAAGTACGGTTTAGGAGGAGACAGAAAATAATTACGATATTATAATGCGAGATCTGATTAGCTTTGAAAAATCACAATATCATAAAAATATGTACGAGAATTTTTTTCTCTTTTAAAATCGTGCTGAAAGAAATTATGAATTACGATCTTATCTATAACTATATCAGAGAAAAGTAGGTCAATATGAATGCGATAAGTGTGATATGTCAAATCTTGGATACCTCTTACGTCGATTAGGAAAATCGTTGTTGAAATTAAAAGTTTACAGATCTTTTCGGATCCTTGTCTTACCTTCGGCAGGAGTGGTCGACGGTAGCCTCAAACTCGCGCCCCGTCGCAAATTAACAGCCGCAACTTCCACTTCCGGTTCCAGCATTCCGATCGTTTGTCAGTCAGTCTCGCCAAGTCGCGAAGAAAAAAAGTCAGAGATAGTCGCGTGATAACGCGACGACAAAACTCGGCTAGACTAAGTTGACACTGGTCAACGGCGTCTACTTTTCCGACAGGCGAAGAATTCCGAGGATGCCTATCGACCGGCTCGGTCGCCTATCGCGCGAATCGGCCAATGGTAATGATAGGAAACGGTCACGTGCGGTCGCTTTCGACAGCGTGTCCTCGATGATCCGTCGTCAATGCTACCTGAGTTTCACAGCGTATACACCCGCGCGACTTTACTTTCGTAACGCGAGCACGCCGGACATGCCACCGATCGGTACCGACAGTCACCTGCACTCACGCCGGCATCGTCGAATCACAACCGTTTGATGTTTGTTCACAGGTGCATCGCGGAATTATCCGCGAGGACGTCGCGTTTTCTTTCCTAATCCGTTTATTCGTTTCCCACGTGGAGGGAACACTGTCTTCTTTCCCGTACTCGCGAGATCTTTGCCCGGATTTTGGATCACTCGGAGACGATACGATATCTGGCGAACGAATTATTGAAAATATAAATGTTAGGACAGATGCATCAGTGAATTATCAGTGCGATAAAATTTCTGACGAATATTACATCTGAACTGTTTATACACTTACATACAATAGAACTCCATTTTATCCGAGCATCTCAGAGAATATAAGTTCTGATAACCAAATGGTTCCGATAGTAGAAGTTTAATATATAGTTTCGTATAACGAGTTAGTGTACCTACTTATTAGTGATGATAAGAGCGGACGTTCAGAAAATTGAAGTCGAGCACACCGAGCTCTTATTATTCGAGTAATTTGTATATTTGAAACTGAGAATAAACTTGTTCGTACAAATGGCGTACGGATAAACGGAATTCTGTCGCATTTATGTTAAAACTAATTGTATTATATTTCTCTTATTAATTTCGCAATTGTATTAATATTACCAGCGCTCGCGTGTAATATGTTATTATTTCATTATTATATAAAGTGAATTGGAGCTTAGAACTTATGCAATTTTATCAAACTGAATATTCTCTTTCAAAGTGACACAGAAATCCAAGACGTACAAGAGATAATATCTTTTTGCACTTTTTTTAAAAACTGTTATGATATTTGTTCTTCGTTATTGAATTTATGCAAAATACTTTATGCAAATTCAACAGCGTTCAGAGATTTAAACTCTTTTTAACTAATTAACACTTGGAGAATATGTGAATGACGAAGCTGACTTTTACAGAGAGAAACTCGACAATTGAGCTAAAACATCCTACGTATGAAATCTCGAATATACCTAATTGTTTCAAGAATAACTCTTGACTTTATTAACACGCACTTTGTACTCTAACGCTGATATTCCTCAATACATTGATCATTCACAGATGCAAGTGTCTCGCAATTATCGAAATGACGCACTTCAACTTTCATTCAGAGTTGAGTCGACCGTGACGTTCGCGATCGCGTGCCGGTCTCCGTCGTTCGCCCGAATGTACACCTCTAGGTGTTACAAAACGAGATCTGACGCGATCTGACGAAAGTCGCTCCGACAGCATCTCGCGCGATACCGTGGATCACAGTGGCCGACGTCATACTGCCAGAGGTATCACTTGCCCGCGTATAAAACCGAAGAAGCCGACCGCGGCTTGTTTGTGATTCGCGAGTTTACGCGAGTCGACGTCAGCTTCTAGGAATTTGAGGGATCTCGTATAAAGACGAAAGCCGCTTTTTTTCTCTAATGACGTCGACAGAGTAACCGATCGCAAGTTCTTCAGGCGCTCAACACTCTGTATACCGTTTAGTGACGCGGCGAAGCTTAATCGAACAATACATCCGTTGAAGGTTAACATGCTGATGATAAGCGCACTGTTGATAAGGTATATATGATTGGTTGCACGTGTAACGAACGTTCGGGAGCGACTGCGAGAGAAAGAGAGAGACCGAATTGGAAGCTGGACGGTTTATTTCTATCGCGACACGTGTGTGTCGTGCCAAAGAAACGAAATGCCGATACGCTAGCAGAATTAATTAAGCGCGTGAAATGCGCCCGGGAAATTAAGTTTTTCCACGCGTTCGGCGCGTGTCGTAAAAAAAAAACACGTTGGAGACGAGAGCCGTTAAGTGTGCAAATTGCAAATTCGCGCCTCGGGTCTTAAAAAAGAAAGGTCTCGAATGCAGACTCTCGAGTTTGTTCTCGCCTGAATTATGTCACTGTAGTCCAAGGCTCGCGCGAAGTCGCGTTAATCCTTTCGCTGCGACACGTAAAGCTGCTCTTTCGAAATTTCCAACGAGCGAGATACGAATAAATACGCCTTTGCGACATATTATACGAATTTGCTGCTCCAAATTAGCCAGTGTAAGTGAACGACGTTACAAATTGGCAACGAGAAATACGTCAATTATTTATTTTCAATTTTACTTGGAAGTGCGGACGCGATACTCGCAGCCGCAAGAATTAAGCGCAATTTAATTCTTCGCGGAAAGCGGAACTCGCGAATCCGAATTGCGCGAATACAACGAGCGCCCGAGTGCGACTGAGGAAGCGAGGCGTGCATTTAAAAGTTCGTTTATTTTGGTTATCGCGTCGTGCCAAAAAGCCGAGCGTGCAGCTGACAGCCGGTGGTGACATAGTAATCGTCGTGGCAGCGACGTCAAACACAGCCTTTCCGATATAATTCGATCGAGATGTTTTTGGGACAGGCTTCCCGAGACTGCGGCATCTCGAGACTGTATATTCGAGGAAACAATGGATCAGCCAAGAAAAATGTTTTCAGACCTTGGGATAGCAGGAAGAGAGGACCTGATTTTTCAGTCTTTTGAAATCGTCGAGTCTTTTCTTTTTGAGACTGTATTTTCGAGGAACAATAGGACGGCAAAGAGAGACAATGTTTTCGGAAATCTAGGCGAACGGGATAGTAGGAAGAGGAGCTGATTTCATTATTGCGCATTTCCGGAACTTAGTTTCTTTTACTTTTTCGAACCCACGATGGAAAGTCCCGAAGAGGATTGCGATTCTGAAAGAGATTCAAAGGGATAGAGAGAGGGGTCGTCTCGCCACGGGACAAAACGAACACAATCTTAGAAAACTAGCATCTTCATTTTTTTTTCTCGTTCAATATTTTATAAGTATACATAATTATTCTTGACGACGAAAAAAAACTTTCGCACTCCCCTTAACGGAGATCTCTCTCGGCGAGACGAATCCGTCTCCTCGTTTACACGCACGTTATCCTATACGCTTCGTTATTATATTAAATTTCACTTTTTACGTATCACTGGTGTAGTCGATGGCTCGTCGATGGCTCGCTACGCGAGCGAATAATGCGGAAATTAAGTATCGATAACAATTCAATTTCGCCTATCTACATTGAATTCCGCTTATCGCAACCGTGCTCTAACTACACACGAAGGAGTCGCCTCACGAAGAGTCACGCGAATCGAAGAGAGTAATTCTTTGAGCACCAAAACTTGGGAGAATATTTCGAAGTTGTGAAAAACTTCTCCCTTCCTAAAAAGTATTTGCTTTTATAGATTTTTAAAACATTCCTCCTGTAGGAAAAACTTTTCCTTCCTACGAAAGATCACGGCGGTCGGGTAACAAAAATTTAACAACCAAAGATTAACAAACAAAAATTAAATACTAATAATCCTTCAAGGAGTTTTAAGTTCAAAATATAAGATACTCTTTAAAAAGATGGGTCTCATAAATAAATAAAATTAAAAAAGTTAGAAAATATTGGATGAAACAGCACACAATCAAATGTTCTAAAAAAATATTTCAAGAATACCAAAAACCATAAGGAGCAAACCATTTTTGCGACTATTCCAAATAATCCAGCCGTGTATATCACTGAACAGCACATCGTACATATCGAATACCTATTAAATACGTATTAAACGCGATTTGGACGATACAAAATCACAAAAGAGAGACAGAGAGAAATTGTGTTGGAACGAAATTATTGCGCGAGCATTAGTGCGCGATCACACACGCTTATTACTTCTGCCTTTACACATCCTGACAAGCAAAAACCTTACGATCGACTTTATCGCAGCCTTTTTATCACGCCTTCGTCAAGCTCGAAAAACCTCGCGCGCTAATCATCCTGATCATCGCAAGCCTATTCTCTCAAGATACTTGCAAAATCTCTCAATGAACACTTTTTCCTGCGGCCGCTTGACCGCCATCTCAATGATACCGACGCTGGCGGAGCAAAAGGACTTGACGAGCATCACGTGAACCGCCATTAGCAGGTCGTCGTCGGTAGTGAAACGTCTGTCGCGGAGGAGCGGCGCGAGCGACGGCTCGTCGTGGCATCGGGCGTCGCAGAAGTCGTCCTCGCGGTAGCAGGCGTGCTTCGCGTACGCGGCGGTGAGAGCGGCGATCAGGTGCGCGAGGAACCTGCGGTGGCACCACAACGTCTCGTGGCTGTCGTGCAGGGTGATGTACTGCTCGTTGTACAGGCACTCCTCCGTCCAGTACGATAACGCCGTCAGATAACACCTGAGCTTACGTACGTCGGTGGTCGAGTAACCGTGGTCGCGCTCGAGACGCGCAACCTCGCGAATACGTTCGAGCAACGTCCGTTCGTCGTCGTCGAGGTCGTGGCGGCCCATGTAGAGGAACGGGCCGTCGTGCCGGATCGCGCGATGATAACCGGAGTTGTCGTGCGTGTCCCTACCCGTGGAGACCACCGCCAGGATGTACTTTCGCAGCAGGAACTGCCGATATGCGTACGCGCTGTGATCGGACACGTGTTGCCGGCACCAGACGAGCGTGCTCGTCCACTCGCTGTCGAAGCTGTGACGCCGCAAGCCACGGGACTCGAACAGGGTCACCAAGTGGCGCCGGTAGCTCCACGCGTGGTAGTTGTTCGCGTAGCGATCGGCGCAGGTCTGCACGAGCTCGAGCTCGTCGCTCGCCAGCGCCTCGGCGACGTCGGTCCGCTCGCCGTCCAGGACGAGCGGCAGCAGCCAGCTTCGGTACGAGAAGGCCTCGAAGCACTTGGGCGTGTGATAGAGGACCGGCCGCGTGAAGGACAGCTCGTCGCGCGGGTCCAACCTACCGGCGCGCACCAGTTCCCGCCGCATGTTCCAGAACGTCGTCACGCTCGGGTTGAACAGCAGGGCGCCCAGCAGCCACCTCGCCACGGTGCTGGGCTCCTCGCGCCGCTGATGGCGCGTCCGCCGATACTCCAGCAGCCGGCGATACGTGTACACGTACAGCGGCTGAACGCACCACGACGCCAGGCCCAAGCTGTCCTCCTGATGAAACACCGGCGACCGGTTCTCGCTGTCCTCCATCGGCAGGATCACGAAGCTCCTTCTAGGAAGGCAGAGAAGACGCGACCGTAAAATTGTCGCTTCGTTTTATGCTCGCGTTGTAAAAAAAGAAATGTCCGTAATGTTTTTTTTTTTTTATGAAACTCCTGAATTAATGTGAATGAAAGTAGTTATGTTATTCCAAATTTTTCTGCGTTGCTTGCATTAATACTTCTTATTACTATCTTTTAGCCTAATATGTGATACTTAAAATTAATCGTAATAAAAATCTATATCATTTTGTTAATAACATCGATATTATGTTATGATATTATATACATGTGAATAATATTATTAGAAAGAGAGAGTGAAACAAAGTATGTAATTATTGTTAATAGTGTGTGGAGCGAATATAAAGCAAGAAATTAAAATGTAAAAAATATAACAAATTATCAATTTTTCAGTGATAAAATTTTATAGTGTATATAACAACTTACATTTTTATCAAACATTTAAAAAGTCATTTCCATATTCGGCTCTATTAATATAAATTAAAATTCGTAATACGTCAATTAGTAATATAGCTATATAGATAAGATAATCGTTTGTTGCAATGTCTGTAGGAATCGAGAATTTATCTTGCACTGATGGCAAATTTATATGATCTCCCGTAAAATTACAAATCTCCTTATGTCCGTGCTCGAAACTCTTAATCCAACAATTTAAATGATAAATGACATTTAATCACCAGCTATCAGCGTGAATTATCGAATACACTCTGCGAGGAAACGCTTGTAATCCTTCTCTGAGTTCGACGAATATTTTGATTTATTGTAGAAACTTTAATAAGAGAGACTGTATTTTCTATACATGCTTTTCTTTATGCAACCCTGTAAATTAGCATCCCGCGAGCTAATTCGTTATATTTGATTCCATATTTGATATTACGGAAATTACGCAAAGCCAGTTATGTAAAATCGTGCCTCAAGTAATTATGTGTACATATACGCAGTGTGCACGGGGAAACTTTATAATCACGCATATAGCGGAGCTCCGACAGTCGAAGGAGAGTAAAATCAAGTAAAGACAGCTGTGAGAGTTTCTTTTTTTTGCTTCCTTTTCCATCGGATCTCCGCGATCGCCGGCGCAAAAAAAAAAAAGAAACGCCGAAACCGAGCAAATTAAAAATAAACGAGCAATTAAAACCAGGCGCGTTACGCAAGTGGAATTAAGGATGGCAAACAAACCGCGATTATTAACACTCGATGCTCCCCGGATGGCGCTACTTTACGAGCGCCGGACGCGACCGATTATTTACCGCGCACGACGCCACGAGTGCCACGACCGTCTCCCCGTTACCGTCTCTCGCGTGCGCGCTTCGTCCACGTTTTCCCGTATCTCTCTCCTTTTTTTTTCTTTTTGACCTGTCCCAGTCATAGTTTGCGAGTTTATTTTAATCTCAAGAGCGGGATAACGAGATTAACAACCGCTTTTGACGCGAAAATAATTGGCGCGCCCTCCCCCCCCCCCTCCCTCGGTTTTAACGATCTCTCCTTCCATTTTTGCATGCAGCGCACTCGAAAAATCTCACTCCCGTATTAACGGGAATTTAGAGTCGCGAGTTAAAAGGGATAAACGTAAAGTAGGGCGTTAATAATGCCCGGTCATTACTCCCTATACATACGTGCGAGACACGTTCCGTGACTTCCACGTTAAACCCGTGGCTTAGGAGAAGATTGGTTTTAATTACCCTCGGAGCAATTCGAATAAGTCGACCGTAATTTCCCAATGTCCACGTTACACGGTCGACTAATTATTACACTGCAATTTCGCGAGATATAAGAAATTAAGAGATACGGTAATTAAATTACACGCGTAAAAAAAAATTCAAACAATTATTACGAATTAAATTTTAAAAAAAAGAAAGAAAGAAAGAGGAATATCCGTCAGCTGTTATCTCACTGAAGTTTCCTTAATAAATCTCGGAGTCCGCGATATAATGGAACTTTCGGCGATACCGAGAGAGTTACTGTCAAATCGAGCACGCGCTCTTTCTTTCTCTCTCTCTCTCTTTCTCTCTCTCTCGATATTTCATAGATTGCGATCCAGACTCTAGACTGCAACGGTCAATTATACAGTTGGAGCACGTGATTCGCGACGGACTCGCAGTCAACTTCGCGACTATTATTCGCAGGCATGACACACGCTAGTCGTCATGACGGCGGCGCGCGCGCGTGAGATTGATCGTTCGCGTTAAAATCGCGGTGGTCGATTCGCCCTCGCGAATGTCGCGATCGCCGGCGTTGTGCCACGCTTTTCTCTCTCCCCCTCCCCTCCTACCCCTCGCCACCCGTTCAACCCCCGCGGAAGACTCCGCCCACGCAATTGCGCGGTTAGGACCGCGGGGTGCGTGTTCCGCCGCCGCCGCCGCCGCCGCCGCCGGTGTGCGTTCGCCGGGTGTTGCGCTGCATTCGGCAGTGCGGCCTCCGAAACGCGGAGGAGGCCTCTATCCCGGACTGACATGAGAGCCATTTAGGTTAGGATTCTCCTCCCGGCCGCACGAAGTCACTCCGCGGCGATTTTAAATCGATAGCGTCGTCATATATCGGACACCTCTACACTTCGCCCGCTTTCCCCCCTCCCCCTAACCCTCCCCCTCACGCCCCGCCCGGCTCCTTCTATTATCGAGAGATAAAGTCGCGGTGCACGGCACGCGTTTCGGCCTCCGGCGGAAAAAAAAAAAAAGTAACAGACGAGAACAGTCTCGCGGCGAGACGTGCGGGAAAGACGTACGCGCAAAGAGCGCGGAGCCGGGACGGGTTACGAAACGTTATAACCGCGCATAACCGAGAGAGAGAAAAAGAGACTCCGCACAACCTGCGCCGAGTTTAAAATCGCCGACACTGCGGTGGAGGTGATTATAGCGTGAAACGACGAAGAAATGCGATGCGGCAGCTGATCCTCTCGCGCGCCCTCGACTCTCGTCACCGCGACTCGAACTCGCATCTTCGCTTCTTGTCGCGTGGAGAGGCGCGATATAAAGAGACAGGCAAAACACGCCCGTACCGAAGGGGGGGGAGGGGAGTTTCCGCGGTTTACCGGATTTACCCGCGAGCCGGGAAGGAGGACGATGGGACGAACAACGCGCGCGCGCGCGCACACTCACATGGTGGGATTCCTCCGGACGGTGTTCTCGATGTCGCGGAGAATCTTCTCGGCGGCCGGGAACTCGTTGTCCACCATCGCGCGTGCCGCATCACATCTCCCTCGTGGACGTGTCAGTCGACGGCGGACGCGCCAGTGTGACCACACCACCACCCTCGCGTCCCTCGCGCTCTCGCTTCCACCCTCCGTGCCTCTTCTCTTTTCGCTCTCTCTCTCCCTCTCTGTAACTCGCGCACCCTCGCCGCCGCGCTCACGACGGCACGTCCCGTTGCGGCGTATATATACTGCTGCCAGCCAGCCAGCCAAGCCTGCCTGCTTGCCTCAGCGCCGAGCGAGTAGCGACTCTGCTGCGGAAGCGCCGCCGGACAGTTGCGGCGGGCACGCCGCTCGGTTGCGCGCGGCGCGAAGTCAGCCGCGAGTCGCGCGGAGTGCGTCGTCGGGCCGGGCGCGCCGCGCCCCAGGCTCGCCAACTTCGCGGCGCTCGACGAGCCGCGTCGCTTTGCCGCGCAGCGAATCGAATTCGCCACTTTGCCGCTCGCGTGTCAACGCGCAAATTTTCACGGCGGTCGATAACGTACGCGCGAATGTTTCGACTGTAAGTAATTTCTCGCGAAATTGAGTTCTGTTCCACGTGTCCAACGTGCGCCACGTGGACAGACGTTTGTTTCGATATTTAAAAATTGCAAAATTGTTTCGCGAAAAAGCACGCTATAGCTATGCTTTTGCGATTATTTCTTGCCACTTTCCACAATTAATTTCCAAAATTAGTTTTTTTGCTCGAATTGTATGAATATAGAATGTCACGCGTATTACAATAACGGAATAGAAAAAGACAGAAGATTAATTAAAATACAAATTCATTTCAGCAGATTGCTGAAAATTCGATCGATGCGCTATCGAAACATGTTTTGTTCCGTCATACATTATATTTATAGCAAATATTTCGTAGTACTTTCATACAATGGCAGCTGTCGTCATTCGCAAAGTTTTATTGTTGTTATAGTCATAAGAATAATGCGCGCTATTGGACTTTTACTTCTAAGTTTCATTAATTAAACTAATTAATCAATATATCTAGATTAACTGCCTCGTAAAATTTTTCTTTCGACTTCAAAACTATGTTGAGAAAAGAACGTTTAAAGAGAACGTTTAAAAGGATTCGATTAGGAAACAATTAAAGTCTATACACAATGAATCTCAGATTCGACGTAAAAACTAATTCTGAAACGCTTTAGGGACGAACGATTGAAACATATCATATGCCCCTGTAAACTCAAAGCCTCCCAGCATAACCTACAACGTATTGCTTTCCACATTATCGACGGTAAAATACTTGCCTTATCGCCGCCTTCCGGAAAATTATCGTGTCCGCGGATTACCGCGGGCCCCCGCGACGTGCTTGCCATTGGACGAAGCGCGATAACGCCGCGACCCGACGACAATATAAAGGACGAAGGAGCGAGGCTCGCTCGACTGCGCGGTTGTATACCGGATCGCCCCCTCCTCCCCCCCGCCCTCACCCGCCGCGGATAACGATAATCGCCCGTGTCCCCTGCTGGCTGCTCGTCGCGCGATAAAACGGAGGGCACTCTCGTCTCGCGTTTCCCCCCGTCTTTTATAGACCGCGATAAAACTCGCGAGCTTACAATCTCGCGCTTCCGTGTGTAAAGTGTATACCACCACGTGAGAACGAGAACCGCGCGACCACCTCAAGTCCTCGGAACCGCCTGGATATATCGCGGCCGAAGTATCGATAGTCGCGCGCCTGCCGCAATCGAAGATTCGAGATCTCGACGAACGTCAGAGTCGTGCGAAGTGAGGAGGGTGAAGTGCGCCGCGAGCCGATACATAACCTCTCTCCCGACCTGTCGCGTCGGCGGTGTCGACTCTACACACACGCACACACGCGCGCGCGTTTCCGTCGACTCGCCCTTGCCTAATAGGGCAGAAAAAGGAGACGAGGAGATCTCTCGGCGCACCGCGGCTCCGACTTCTCTCTCTCCCCCCCCTCCCCACTCGTCGTCCCCGAAGAGCTGCGACACGCGTCGTCACGTTCGCGAACGCTACGAGTGAATAATGTCCGACCCGCGTATCAGGACGCTCAAGATCAAGACGGGAGTGGTGAAGCGCCTCGCGAAGGAGAAGGTCACGTACGAGAAGGAGGTTGTGCAGCAGCGCGAGAGGATACAAAAGTTGAAGGAGCAGGGTGAGAAGCGCTCTTTCTCCAGCTATACGAGGGGGAGGGAAGAATCCGCGTGTCACACGTGGCGTCGCGTCGCCGACGAGCCGTGTTTCGTTAGCCTGCGTAATACTTATACATTCGGAAATATAGGGTAACTGTCCCTATTAATGTGCCCTGAACTACCTATTAGTGTGCTTTTATATTTATATAAATCATAAAAGTAAACTGGTACAAATATATAGACAAAGTATTTTTTTTTATTAAGTTAAAGTATTAACTTTATAGAAAAAAAAATACTTTGTCTATTTATTTGTACCAGTTTATTTTTATGACTTATTTAAATATAAAAGCACACTAATAGGTACAGGGCACACTAATAGGGACAGTTACCTATTTACAGAGCGTAGGGTAACTGTCCCTATTAGTGTGCCTGTACGTTCCTGCTAATGTGCTTTTATATTTAAATAAGTCATAAAAATAAACTGACAAGTAAATAGACTGTGTTTTGTTTTATTAAGTTAAAGTATTAACTTAATAAAAAAAAAACACTTTCTGTTTATTTGTACCAGTTTATTTTTATGACTCATTTAAATATAAAGAAAGCACACTAATAGAGATGTACAGTCGTGGACACATCGGTTGCGACACTTTTTATAGGTTTTTATATATTTAATATACATAATATGTACTTTATAGATAACTAATCTTTTGCAAATGCGAACCACGATGCACTATCTTTAGTCTAGAGACAGTATAACACCAATCGTGGTTCGCATTTGCAAGATATTAGTGCGTTTTGAAATCTATAAAAAAGAAAGTGTCGCAACCGATGTGTCCATGACTGTACAGGCACACTAATAGGGACAGTTACCCTAGATTCGTCTGATACGCAATATTCAATTCAATTTAAAGCTCTGTCTTCATCGAAGTGCTTTAATAAAAACAATTGTTCGACGGAATCGCAAACCTTTAATATTTTTCTAATCAATTCCAATTTACGAGATGCTTTTCTTTCTTTGATTTCGAAATAATAATTAATAAATTCGTCGAACAACTTTATATTAAACTGAATGGTATCTGTTGTGTTGCAGACAAAGATGGCTACGACGTGAAGAAGCAGGAGGAGGTGCTTCAGGAGTCCCTTATGATGGTGCCGGACTGTCAGAGGCGTCTCGTCAAGGCATTCGAGGAACTCAAGAAGATCCTGGACACCGAGCAGGATTTGAAGGAAGTCGAGGATTACATAGAGGCTGAGAGAGTGCTGCAGCAGGCGGAGGAGCAGCTGCCGAAAGAAGGGGACATTTTGCACATGTGTTAAAGAGAAAAGTGCTCCGATGACTTTTTCGCTAAATCATTCTCGAATATTATCCAACACTTTTATATTTTTTCTCTACTAACCTTTTACGAATTATTAATTTTACACTTAAAACTATTGTCTAAGTCCAAGGTTCTTTTTTTTTGTTGTTGTTGCTGTCGTTCTCACCCGAATGCGCGTATATTAAAAACGAACATGTACAGTGGTCAATCTTTCCAGCAAGACACTGGACAGACTTACGAAAATGTGCATTTCAACATGTACTATCCGACAAATCAGCAACCGTATGCGTACAATGCAAATTACGGTGGGAATATGTATTATAACGTTTATCCAAGCCATGTGACATGTGATAACAGTACCGTTAATAATGCGACATCAATCGATAGAATAAGAGCTAGGCAGGAGGATGAGAAGGCCATTGAACGGTTCCTCGAGGAGACGGATTCGGCGGTTCCTGCCAAGGGCAAAGGGCGAGATCGGTTTAAGATCGCGGCCGCTAAGAGCGCGTTGATGTCGGTGGCCGGGTTGAACAAGCAGCTCGAGGCTGTTTGCGCGGGGCTCAAGAGCGACATTGATTTGCCGGAGGCGCAATGGCGGGAGAGGGTCAGTGCCTGTAACGCCGCGAAGCACGAAATCTGCGAGATCCTGAAAACCGTGAAAGACGCGGACTTTTTGGGTAGAGTTAAGAATGATTTGGAGAAGCGTAAGAAGAAACGTACGAGGGAGCGGCGTAGAAGGAAGGAATGGAAGAAGGAGAAGTCCTTGAGGGAGGAGAGAAGAGCGAGATTGCACGCGGAGGCTGACGCGTGGATACGAAAGGAGCAGGCGGTGATCGAGCGGGAGAAGCAGGAGGAGAATTTGCGCAAGGACGCGGATATGGTCCTGTCCGACGTTCGCAGCAAGAGAAACGACGCGCGAAAGTATCTAGGGATCTTGCAAGAGCTGCAGAACTTGCGGAAGATCAAGACAAACATCGCTCGAGCGAGGGGCGAGAAATTGTCCTCAGCAGCCGAGGAAGAATTCAATAATACCATTGGTATTTTATTGCTACAAATCATTATTTTTAACGTGATGAATCTCTCAAAATGCAAGACAAAAATAGGCACATCAATAAATACAATTGATATGTAAAATGAGTAATTTTAATAATAAAATAAATATAAAATGCAATTAATAATGGAATGTTTAATGCATGCTAAGATTTTGAATCACGCCGCTGTTTTTCATACAAATGTAATATAAATTATAATGTATTATTTTTAATGTTACGATTTTTAATTATGTTACAGCTAAATTAACAGAACAGTGGACTACTTTGGATCGTGAGTATGCAGTAGAAGAACAAGAGTTAAAATTAATGCTAAAAACGGATAACGAAAAGAGGATCGAGAAGCAAACGAAAAATTTATTCGACGACTGGGAGAACGTGCTATTTGGAACAAATATATTGGCTGCTGAGCAATCTTACAAGGATGGTTTTATCATGATTCGGTATGTTTTTTAATACTGATTAATTATTCTCAAATAATATCTTATCAGTTTTTTTGTCTCACTCGAAGAAATTGTTTTGAATGTCTTTTTTGCATTTCAGTGCGGCCTGGGATAAATTCATGAGTTCGGAAAGTGACGCAACGACGATTCCAGTTGGATGGATAGTGCCTGAAAAACCATCTTCTGCTGCTTGGCAAAAGTGTCTCAATAAGGAGACTTCTTGAAATAAGAATAACTTAAATGACGTTGTCAATTTAAGTTTATTTAAAAAAAAATAAAAAAACAATTTGCTAGAATATTTTTAATTGAGCTACGCGACTTGTATCACATAAACTTTTTCACTATGCTTCTGCAAAAATTGTCATATATAGATATATGGAAAGAAATATTTTAATTTTTGAGAAAAACTCGATTTCTTATTCTTCACTTATTTATTATAAGAGAAAAGTATTTAAACCGTTGCTTGTTCACTTATTTCGAGAAATTTAATGCCGACGTAAAATTGTAAAATTATGTACAAAAAACTATTTTACAAAAATTATCTTACAATTGTTTAATATCTCACAAGTTATATTTAAACTATATTCAAGATAATGTCGCGTTCTGTTTGAGCGGCGTTCGACGGTTCCAAACTTTGATTCTCTTTTATAGCGGGCAGATAGGACGTTTCGGCGCCAGACAGTATCATTTGCATTGAACCTTGCAATTGCGATAACGCTATAATCAACTGTTCTTCCTCCTGTAACTTTTGCGACAGCATAGCGAACATTTTTCGCGCTTCCTCCGACAGTTCGTCCAAGTGATCTTCGTAAACCTCTGTTAAACAAAGAGTAGAATTTCATTAATGCGAAGATCACGTGAGGCTCCAATGAGAGATCTAAAGAGACGCTTGAAGCTCACCTAACAACACGTTCGCTACGTGCAGCAACACTCTTCCAAAACGGATGCTGCCGATGTATTTGTTCAGGAACTTGATAATGTTGACTAGCGACTTGCCGTCCCGACCGGCCAACGCTCGCTTCAAGCCCTCGCGCCTGATGAGCTCCTGCGTAAGCGCCACGGTGACATGCGGCGTCTTGTTAACCACGTAACTCATCATGACGCAGTCGAGCGCCTTGCTGTACTGAAACTTTCGCAGGCAGGCATCGTGCTTGCTCATTATCTCTTTGACATCTTGATGCACGACCACATCGATACTCCTCACGTGAAGATTTTCACCCGCGTGCCTGTACGACATCCTCTTGCGTCTCGGTTTTATCACGTCTTTCACGTCTTCCTCGCGTCTCTTCACGGATATCATACCGTCCACCATACCGGCCACAACGGTCTCGTCGTCTGCCTGCAATTTAATATTAACATCGCGTTTAATTACATCAATTTTTTATAAATCACTCAATTTAACAACAATTAGATTTATTAAATAAATATAAATGCGAGCAAATTTTAACGTGTAACGATAAAAATTACATTTTTTTTTCTTACACTAATTCCTATGCTGAGAACCGAATTCGGATAGTCCAAAGCATGAAGAGTTTTATATGTTCCAGCATCGTAAACTTTGACATGCCTGTCCAATGAACCAGACAGTATTCTGTGACCGTTAGAGGCGATTTTCAGGCAAGTTACAGTTTTATGATGTTGCGTGATTTTCGCGAGCAATTTGCCACCCGTGAGAGCGTCCCATACTTTGATGTCTGTCCCGCCTTGAAATTACAGATAAATAATGAACATTCTTACACATAAAGCATTAACTAGCATGAAATAGTGTATCGCAAGTTAGTTATACATATTATTTATGAAAGAATTTATAAAAAAATTTTCAAAACAAGATACAAATGCATAATCAGACTAGCAAAAAATATTACACCTGCAGACAGGAATATTCCTCCAGTTGGCAAGAAGAGTAAACTTTCCACCGGTGCATCATGATTAACACTGAATATCTTCTTATTCGTTCTGGCGTCGTACATATTTACAATCTTGTCGTATCCACCGGACAGCAGGACATCGGTAGACACCGGACTCACTGCGCCGGCCCTGATATAGTCCATATGTTCGTTGAAGCTTATCAATTGCTTCTCACTAGATATATCCCACAATGCTACAGTCTTGTCGTCCGAGAATGAGGCGATGTGAAGATCGTCGGTTGTGAAGAGAGCTCTGTGCACCGCGGCCTTGTGTCCAGAAAACAGTCGCAACATGCTATTCGAACTGATGTTGAAAAGCCTGACCACTCCTTCCTCTCCACCGGCGCACAACAGTTTGCCATCCCTGCGAAAGCAGCCACCGTACGCGGAGTCTTTGAACCTGCTGTAAGTCTTTGTGGCTAGCTTTGTGATAGGGTTGTACAGCAGCACTCGTACTGCGCAGGTTACTGCGAAATAATGCGGCTCTACCGGCGAGAAGTCAATGTAGTCTATTGGACCGAATTCCTTTATTAAAACTGGAGGCTGTAAACATACAATTACCACCCCAATAATTTGTCATTCTCTGCAAATGTAATTTTAATAAATGCGTAGGCCATAAACATCTAAAAGGTGACTTAAATATATCCAACATTTGTTACAGGCAAATACAAGTACAAGCGATACGAAGAGTGGACTTTATAAAAAAATATATACATATATACCAACAATTTATATTTATATCGTAAATATTTAAACAACGCAATGTTAAACAAGGATCTTATTTTACAATTTTATTATTTTATTACAATTTTATTTATAAAATAGCGTCCTATAAATAAATCGATGACTGAAAGCTACTTCAGATTAACGACATCGAAAAAGAATTTCGAAAATATCCTGTAAGTAAAATTTCTCCTTCTTTTTCTGTTATATTATTAGAGAACATGAGTGTTAAAATAAAACGAAAAAAACAGTGACGAATCCACTTCATAGGTTATGTATCGCGCACGTGGGGCTCAACATCTCATTTTTCAAATTCTTAAACAATCCATAAATCCATACCGAGTATTTCTTCCAATATATATTATCTTCCGTTAATTCCGGGCCTGTTCTGGCAAAGACTTTGGTATTTATCTTCTTGAACGACGTCATGCTTTATTTCAAGTTATCAACAATCCTCCGAAAAACAGTCCAAAATACAACACTTATCGCAACCCCTCGCAGCTCTCCAGGGAGCAGAACGGTGCAGAATGCAATAGGCGTTTAATCGTGAATATAGAACGTAGATCCTATTCGAATTCCGTGGACAAAGAGGATTGCACAACTTTTTTTTCTATGCCTTTGCGAACGCATCGATATCGCGAGGGGGGGGAGGGAGGCGAGCGGGCGAGCCACTCGACGCGTTCAGGCCGGACAAAGCGGGCCTCGGCCTGCTCGGCGAGTGGGTGAATATAAGCGGATCCACAGGAAAGAGCCAATCACATTCCAACGCATTTCCTATACACTCGCCATTACCGTGGAAATATATAGTTTACATATCACTCTTTACGCCACACGAACCAAGAGCAGCAGGAACGCGGTGGCGCTTGGGAGGGAAGGCGGGAGGGAGTTTAAATGACCCGGGTCGAGAGGGTAAGGGGGGAACGTCAAGCTGATGTTGACAGTTGCGGGAGGTGCACGTGGTGGAATAAAACCCGTCGTAAATCATCGCGCGCGCACGCCCGTACGGTGCCGGTCGCATCCTGGGGCGCGATGCTGTCGGGATAAACGCCGTCGCGTCTCCCCCCCCACGACGGTGGCACGCCGCCGGGATCGCTGTCGACGCCGCAACACGGCGGTTTCTCGGGTTATTAAGGCGCTGTGTGTGAAGCGTCGCCTTCAACATGGCGGTGGTGCCGTTCGTGCAGCCGTCCCGCGTTACGTTTCTCCGCTCATCATGACCACGGTGGATCGCAACGGCCGCGCATCGTCGTCGTCTCACCGCAGTCCCAGTAGTCGCAACACGGCGGCAGCAACGCACGAGGAGAGCCACGCGCCGCGCTACGCATACGCACCACGTCGCCCGTGAACGCCGCACGGCAGAGAGGTACGTCGTGCGGAGGAGCCCACACGCATCGTCGTCGTCGTCGTCGTCGTCGTCGTCGTCACGCAATTCAACGCCAGGAGCAGCGTGCATCGGGGAACGGGCATCGCTATCTGCGGACGGACGATCGACCTTCCTTCGTGGAGCGCGGTGGTGCCGCGTCCCGAGCCACAGGACGGACACGGGAGTCATCCGCGCCTCGTGTAGCCGTACGTCCTACGTACGCCGTCCTACCTCGGAGCACGAGGAGGAGGTGGAGGATGCCTGCCCGACTGTCGTAAATCTCGCGACTTTCGTTGTCCTCGTGCGGGGAAACTGTATTTATCAAAACGGTGAGCAAACGGTAAAAAAAAAAAAAAAAAAAATTTGCATGCCATCTAGATTTCTTTAGGCCCGTTCTACAATACATCGTACGTCGGGCCGTAAGCCGTAAAAATTGACTATTCACAGTCGAACGTAAGAACACTCAATTGTGACTAGTCAGTTTTTACGGTTTACGACATACGACGTATTCTAGAATGAGTCTTATTGGAAACGAATTAGGAATTTCGGAATTGCTACAGAAATGTTATTCTAGTCGCGACAAAGTTCAGGTGGAAATATCAAATGTATAAGGAAATCATTCTGAGTTCATTACGGAAAGAACTTTCCATCTACTTTCTTCGAAAGTCTCTAAAGGCTCTTTGTTCGAATGTTATTGTCTCTTGGCCGTTTCTAAAATGTAAACGTTTATCGTGCAACGTATAATTATGTAAATTTTTATTTTGCATGCCCTTATCTGAACGTTGCCAATCCTTTGTTGAAAATTTTCAATTTATCGTTATTTTTAAAACGGTTCTTAAAATTTCATTTGAGAGAAAGAGAGATTGTTGTGTAATAATATTATATATTAAAACTGTGTTCCAATACACACTGCCGCTGTAAGTGCCACTGAAAATCTGTAGTTCATGTTACGTATAGCACAGATTTTCGGTGCTGGCAGTGCATATCGAAGTACGACGCTAAGAGCAATGTTAAAATTTTACACTGACTGAATTTTTCGTTGATTTATTTTAGATTGCGAGCTACTTACGGAGGACATTTCTTAACGAATGTATCTTATATCAGCCTATCTATAAATAAAACTACATTTGTTACACTTGTCACAATACCGTAGATTGTCAACGTTGATTGGAGAATTTATATTTTATTTATTATACAAGAAAATAGTCCAATCAATTGCTTCCAAAGACTTGTATAAGCTTGCAGGAAACAGGAGAGTAATAGGATAACCAATAACTAGTTAAATTAATTTATAGAACAAGAAGGTTTTTATTGACGAATTTCTTTTTATATCCTAGAGGTGAAAATGTGGAAGTGAAATAGATCCATTTTTATTAGCTACAAAGGAATTTAACTGATGATATAAACAATATAACAATTTACAATATATATGTATATTGTATATATAGATATATATACAATATAATTGTATAATTGTCTTTACAAATATAATAGTCAAAATATATATTTAAAATCAAAATTAAGAGAAATCGAATTCTCGTCAGAAGCAGTTTGATCAGTGTATCTTACCTATCGTGCCTCCTTATTTCATCGCTGTCATTCGTCTTGAACGGAGAAGCAATCTCCTAGTGCTTCTCCAAAATATTTTTTAGGACATCTTGCTCTTATTGATTCGTCTCACTGCAGTCTGCCAAAATTTTGCGAATAAATAAACACTTAGGTAAAACAATTAGAAGGGAGGGCGACGTTAAAATTAGCTGATATCTTGTAAGAGACTGGCTTTATACATAGTAAAAAAAATATCGTTCATGTTGCCAATATATTATGATCCTTTTCTCTTTATTTGACACAAATAATTATTATCGGTACCGTTCTTACTTTCGCTGATAAGACTTTCCTGTTCAATAAAATAATACTCAGTGTTCCATGCAAGTTGCCTGAATATCGTAAAGTCCGTTAAACTTTTAATCATTAATAATGGCTGAAACACAAAGAATGACTGTGTTCGGAAGGCATCCCCCATGCGCTAATAGTAGCAGATTGGACGAACGCCGAGCTAAGAGGTAAGAGTCGTTAACGTGTTAATTTTTTTTCTTTTTTTTTGCTGACGTTGTGCTGACCATTTTATATCACTGAATCATCTGATCTTTCCAGATTGGCGTTGCGGCACGAGAGGAACAGGAAGCCGGACAAGCCGGACGATTTCGTATGTTACGAGTCGAGCGACGACGAGGCCGAGACGGTGACCGAGGGCAAGCAGTTCCTGAGAACGTCCTTCAACTTCGTGGATTACGTGCGCGCACGCGAAACGAATACGCGCGAAGTGCGGAATATCAATCAGGAATACGGTTCCCGTCATATACTGACACACGATCTGTTTAAGGAGTACTCGGTCAGCTTGAACAATATGAACAAAGTATTCTGTTCTCAGTGGTTGAGTGATAGACAAGTAGTATTTGGTACAAAGTGCAATAAGCTTATGGTTTACGACGTGGCGACGCAAAAACTAGACCAGATTCCGTCTCTTCACGGAAGACAGCTTAGCCCGGGCGGTAACGTTATGCCCGAGCAGCAATGTGGCATTCATTCCGTTCAAATCAATCCCTCAAGGTGAAGGTTTCTGGATTTGTTTTTCCTCTTTAATATCACGAGGAAATAAAAAAAGTGATTTTTCGAATCAACGTAAATTAATTTACCTCTTTGTCTTATAGAACTCTTTTATCCACGGGAGCGAGAAATAGTAACGAAATAGCGATATATAGATTACCGACTTTGGATCCGGTTTGCGTCGGCGAGAGCGGCCATAGGGATTGGGTATTCGATATGTGCTGGTTGGACGATGAATTTTTAGTGTCCGGCTCTAGAGATACAAAAATGGCTCTATGGCGTATTGATAGTGATCTCGCTGAAGCCCCCGATAAAGCAGATGTGCCTACACATAGGTAGAATCAAAAGAGTTCAAACTTTAAGTTAGCAAAGGAGTTTTTAGCAAAGGATTCTCCTTTGCTAAAAGTGAAAAATCAGAACAATGTTCCTTTTATAAGTTTATTAAAAAAATATATGTATATAATATTAATCTTTTTTTATCCAGTAACTCCACAAAGTGAGAATTTAAAAACTGAAATGAAGCTGAAAATAATTACCATTAATATTATTCTCATTTTTTAATGCTTTTAGTATTTATTATTATTAATCTTATTAATTTTTAATGATTTATTATCAATTTTATTTAGATTGATTCAGCCTGTCTGCGTGAAGGAGTGCAAGTCCGCGCAGAAGGTGCGAGCACTAGCATTCAATAAAGCATACAAGGAGATCGCAGCATTGACCCTCAATAGCTTTATACATATCTGGTCGGCCGAATCCTTTAAACAGAAAATATCTAGAAAACTGCCAGCCTGCCAGGAAAACGTTTGTCTCGCTGTACAAGATGACGGTGTCTACGCGATTGGATGCAGATCTTACACACTTCTGTTGGACGCGCGTACATTGCAACCGATTAAAAAAATACCGTCAAGGTAAATGAAAACTTTTTTTCTTAGTAACCTATTTTTTTTTAGTATTCTAGAATCATTTAATAATACCAACAAATTTTTGAATACAGATATAGCGGTTGTGGCATCAGATCGGCAAGTTTTCAAGGCTCTGTTCTAACTATCGGAACTGGTCTAGGAATGCTTATGTTCTACGACGTTAGGGCTCAGAAATATCTAGAATCTTCTATAAATTCTAATAGGACTGTCGTGTTGAAAGCTTCGAAAGGATATGTGGTAAGTCTTGTTGTATTGTTTAAAGATAATGAATCATATATTTCTGTTCAAATTGATCAGATTAGATAATAGTTGCATTCTATGAAGTTATATTCTTACAAAACTATTGCTTGATCATTTTATTTGTCACCGCAATTTTTAGACTTGAATAATTTTGAATCAAATGTTTTTGTGAAACATACATACCTGAATGTACCATGAAATGTCCATAAAGTCATGTACCATGGAATTAGTAACATTAGTGACAATAGTAGTCACATGCACGTGGTTTTTTTTTAATTAGCAAATATTCCAATTTTAAATCCAACATTTTATTGTATGTTGTAAACGCCCCATTTAATTTATTTTACATATTACGGAATGATTTACGTATTTATTCTATGGGATTCCAGTTTCCGGACGAGGAGTACATAGATGGTTTCCAAAATGTGAAGTACACTCCCGCCATTTATACACATTGCTATGACGCATCGGGTACTCGGCTGTTTACGGCAGGTGGTCCATTACCCGCAAATCTTTATGGCAACTACGCAGGATTATGGCAATGAAGATTTATGCGAATGAAACCACACAAGTACGATAATTGCTAAATTAAGCAATTAGAATATAAGTTGTAGAGATGTGGGAATCAAAATTTTTTGCCGTCGAATCAAATTTTTTTTGTTTGAATACGAATTGAATTTGAATTGAATCTGAATTTGAATCGAATTAAATCGAATCGTATCATTGAAACATAACTTTTAATTAATAACATAAATATTGTTAGGTTAAACTTTTATATACAGAGTAATAAAAAGGATTCTACGTAAGAAAAATAACGATTATATGATGCTACGATACAATCATTTTAAGACTCCTGACTACTACAGTCAAGAACTCCGCAACGGTAACGACATTATATAGGAATCAGAACCTTGTTTATCATATTAAGTTCTACGTCATATGTCGGTGTTATACGTCGTAAGAATTCTACAATATGCCATATACCGGTATCGTCAATTAATCGAATGTAAAGAGAAGAGAAACTGTGAAAATTGTTGACGAAGACTTGTCTTGCGTGCCATTTCGTTATTGCTTAATTGCGAAAATGTGACATGTCTATTTATCAAATTCATAAAAATAGATGAAAAATAAAGTTATTTTGTATATAAAAGCATATTTTTACTTCTTTTAACAGCTGTCACCGTGAGTTTTCTTGCTCGAATAGGTTTCACTTTACGTGCCTTTTACGACTATTTACTTACTGTCAGTGGCGAAAAGGATGGTTTCCATCCATTTTTATAAGTTTTTTAAAGTGATCTTATTTTTTTATATTTTATCCAAGTTCTCTTTATGTAAAAATGGCACGCAAGAAACTTTTACATGTCATTTGCTTATGACGTCTCGATTCTAATATAGCGGTGACTAGTCAGGAGCCTTAAATATATATTGTATTTAAATATTTGGTATGAAACTGATAAAATTTATTTTACTTACAATTTAATAACAAGGCCACAGTACTTGTCAAAGTACATGTGACTAATCAAATTGGAGGAGACTAAAAGTCATCAAATTGAAGAGTAACTTATTGTTAGAGGAAATTGACATCGATTTTAGAATTCACGTTATTTATACGTTTTTCCAAATGTAATCTTAGAAAGATATCTTTTATTCTTGCAGCACTGTTTTACTTATTAACGGGAAATATGATTTTATGAAATTGTCAATATGTAACTTGTATTTAAACCTCTTAAATTCGAAATTTCGAATAATTCAGATTCAAATTATCAGAGATTCAAATTCGAATCAAATCGAATCTTTTATTTAATTCGATTTGATTCGATTTGTATTCGAACAGTTCACACATCTCAAATAAGTTGTATGTACATGTTGTATGAAGGGCTTGACTGCTTGATTATTTCAGAATTACAGACTACGATGTTTGAAGTTTCTTATCAATTTAATGTTTTAGGTCTCGAAAAGACGATAAACTTGTCAAAAAAAACCTAATTCTCCTTTGAATTATTTAATTTTTCTTTTTTTCTTCCAGAAAATGATTTTTTATACATTATATAGAAAATTTGGAAGAAACAATTTATTTCTGTATTCCAAAATAACTCTTTGTAATGACATTGATTCAAATATAAAGGACTTAATTTATTTTTTTAATTACATCAAAAAAAGAAAAATTCTATTTCTACAAGGACACATAAATAGAACGTTATACCTTATAAAATATGTGATAATTTAATCAATTTAAATAAGTGAATTAAAAAATTTACTTTTTTATTTTACTAATTTAAAATTAAAAATAAATTGATATTTTTACATTACATAATAAATTAATTCCTTTTCGTAAATTAAATTTATTTATAAGTAAAAATATGATCATAAAATCAATTCTGGTCGCTATTTTATTTTATGAACAAAAATAATTTAAGAATAATATCAATATTTCATTTAAATATTACACGATAATAAAAAAAGTCGTTTTCGCGATCCATAAGTATCATTGATATTTTGAACGAGTACGATGTAATTGTTCTACATTTTCATGTAGACAATATCAAGTTATAACATGGTAAAAAATTCCCAAAAAAGGTTATTAGTGATTATGAGTGTAATACATTTTTTAAAATTGAAATAATACAATTTATCAAACAAGTACGTATTTAATTTTCGAATTTACTTGCCAATACAGATTAGAGAGAAAAATATTATCTAATTTTAATGTAAACCTCAGTATATGGACTTTGATTGTATTTTTTAAATTATCGAAACATTGTAGAAATCGTCCATAGCATTATAATATCAGAATAATTTATATCTGTGAAAACAATTGCTATATATTTTTCTTCTGTTATTTTCTTTTTAATCAAATCCGATGAGTTGTGAAATTTTATGTTATTGAAGAAAATGTGATTCGTAATTTTTGCATGCATGTACAATATAGTATATATGTATTGTGTGCATGGTTACAATTTTCAAAACGTTAATTATACAATTGGACGAAGTTGCAAATTACAAAAATTTTTTTCTGCAAGAGTATTTGTCCCTAATTTAATTTAAAAAGTGAAACATGTATAATTTATGTAATGCGATACAAATGGCAAAAGAAAGGAGATCAACGAACATTATAATAATATTAAACAATATTAAGTTTCATCAGACTTATCGAGTGGAAGTTGAAACACCGGCCTCGAAACAGCAACACGCAATGAATTTTCTTTATTATTTTAGCACCAACGATACCACAATTTTGACCTACATGTCACTATCTCCGCATATTATAAATAATATCGCAAGGAAATCCTGACTGGCAGCAGTTTTTTACTACGACTAACCGACAAAGACCGTCATTTAGTAATAATAGCTTAACAAGGAAATTCTAAATGCATCAATAGCACAATAATCTAGGAATACATTTTTTGTATTTATTCGTCTGGTATTGCTTAACTTCGAATTAGTTTTATCTTTCCGCCAGCGTTTTGTATAGCTTAGCTGATTGAGTTTAATCGCGAGTTTAATCTGACTGTTCAAGTTTGACCAAGCTCGGTGCCGTTTAAGCTTTCATCGCGGCGTTTAGGCACGTTGGAGAGAATATTATGGAATTTTTAAGCGCGTGCATTTAAGTGACAAAGAAAAAAAAAACGTCGACCTGTGATTATATAATGATAAAAATGCCGCGTTTGTTGTGTGCAATCGAGATAGCATTTGTTTCTATTATATGCTGCATATACTATATATATATATATTCCCATCGTCATCTCATCAAGTATATATCTTACAACGGTATAACGTTAGAGTTCGACGATTGTTGGTCGAACACGCTCAAACACGATTCAGGAAGTAAGAAGCCCCCCTCTCCCACGATTTAGCATATGAATATGCTGTGTAACGCGGCGTACTTAAGCGAGATAAGATTCACCTTTATCGAACGCATCTGCAGTTATCGCATGACGAGTGCCGCGATTTGCGCGTTCTAGTATAAGCATCGTTTACGAAGGCGAAGAAGAGACAATGAAAGCGTCATTAAAACCCGTCATAGTACGTAATAATACGGGCATGTATGTTAAAAAACGAAATCCTATTTCCCGCATGTTTATGAAAGTGCGAATGAGCGAGAAAGAGAGAGAGAAAGATTGCAAGTTGTTGACGTAACAATGATTATAATAGGGTCTCACAATATTACGATAAGATAGATAAATGTGTGCATTGTATCCGCATAGCTCTGTAGTTTCACCGAATACACGTTCATCTCTCTCTCTCTATGTAAGCGAGCCGATATAATACATTACATACATTACATACATAGGATTCACCGGAGGAAAGTGTGAGGCCGCACCGGGCATTCGTTTCGCCAAAAAGGGAAGGATAGAAGGGTATATAAAAGAATAGGATCCGTCATCGTTTAGCATTGTAAAATCGCAGAGAAAAACACTATATATATATATAATGTACCACACCATGCGTTCGTAACGTGTGTATGACTACTTGCGGATATTTAAATCCAATTAATATTTTAACGCGCCTGACACACTTTTTACGGCGGCGGCGGCGGCGGCCGCTACACGCAAAATGCTGTATGTAAAAATTTAAAAATGTAAGTGTCATACAAACCCTCTCCCTCTCTCTGACAGGCGTTTAAATTCAATATTTTGACCGTATCCACAGACACACACACACAAAACTCACACACGCAAGCATCTCCGATAGCCTATTTTTATAAACGAACAATAGTTAAACGGGGTAGCTTCTCGAGACCTTGACCTGGCATCGTTTCGCGCCTCTCCGAATTGTTTATGGAAGTATGCGAGGCGAGCAGATATATAGAAATTCGAATTCAAACCGCTGCCACTCCATCCCATAAGCGCAACACTATTGATTTGCAACGAGTAATAAATACATACGAGTGACAAATTGATAATTTTATACTTGAAAACGCGTGAACGCGTAGGTGCATGGACGGCAGCGCGAGCTGCCGAGAACATTTTTCAGTTTGTCCGCGTGTTGTGTCTCCCCCCTCGCCCCTCCGTGTCAAGGAAGCTGCTGTCGTAAACAACAGCGTCAACATTAAAGCTCATCCAGCCAGTGGCAGGGTTTGAACGGTGATTTTTGATAATTTTCCATGACACACGAAGATACCTTTTGCACGCGCACTGCAATTCGCGATTCGAATGAGGAGAAAAACGACGGATGAACTATATCATTGTGACTTTATATATGTGCGACTTCGTATATACTATGTAAATAAATATACCAAGCTCTTGAGACTGACACGTCGTTCGTCTTCTTCTTTCTCTTTTTCAGGAAATGAATAAAAAGCGCAGCCGCGCGATTCGGCAGGGAGAGACAATACGAGACGACGATATTTGTTAATAATTTATTAATGGCATGGTATCCATACATCTCTTAATATTGACAATCATCACAAAAAAAAAACCGTGTAAAGTGGGTGTACACCGCGTACAAAAGGCGCAAGATGTCGATAAAGATCTCTCTCTCTCTTTTTTTTTCTTCTACGATATCCTACTGCTAATAATCATCGGGATCGTCAGATCGCGATGAAATCAGATATGTAGAAATTGTTTCTTTAGTCGAGTGTTATAAAAAGTGTGCGCACGCACAAGCAACAGCGCTATAATATAGTGGACTGTGTCGCGCAACGCAACATCCGGAGACTTTCGCAACGCGTGTACGCCTTACCGTTTGCGCGTGCACACGAAGAAAGACGGCCAATACATTTACCTCTTTATCCTTTTTTGAAAGGAAATTCGCATTTTGCAGGACCGTAGGAGAAATTGGAACGTATCGCGTGGCGTAACATAATCTAACTTATCTCCTAACTATTAAAATATTCGTCACAAACTTGCCAATATATTAACGCATTTTTCTCGAAATTATGAAAAAATTATAGCTCTTTTAAAATATACATATATTAAATAATTAAATATAATGCTGCTGTAAGGTCGAAACTGCCCGACTCTGTACTGCCCGGCAGTAAAGCGGCGTCTGCAATGAGACTTGAGACTTGAGATTTAAGAAAACTGACCAATCGATTATTCCTCTTCACATGAGATAAATAATCGACTATAATTGGTCAATTTTTTGAAATCTTAAGTCTTAAGTTTGTAGACGACGCTTAAACGTGTTACGTACGTGTCTAAAGAGGAATCGCAGACATGGGAGATTACATAGAGTACAAAGGTGTGTCGCGTGACTACCGTCGACTTCCAGTTCGACATGAAAGAACAAGGAAATCCCTCGTTCGGACAATCCACTATTATTGCACGCGACAGTTCTACCATTACACGGCTTAAGATGGGAAAGACAATTTGCCTTACTTAAGTAGATATTTAGTCGAGCTACCGGTCGCGGCGAATGGACCTTTGCAATTTTCATAAACATTCTCCCGTTATTGTACTCGTCGCGATACATGGTAAACGCAAACCTGTTTTTTGTAGCGAGAGAAATTTTATCTTCGCACGAGAATTTCTTACAACAATTACGCGAATTAATGTCTAACTCCGGATCTGATATTTAAAAATCTTAGCTTTAGTATCTTGAATTATCGTACGTTATGACTGCATTACGCGAATAGAAATTCGCCAGATATGATCGAATTTGAGTTGAAATCAAAATTAACTTCATGCAAATTGAAATAGGATGAAAAAAAAAATAAACTTTTATATCCGAGTGGAAGAAATTAGAAGAATTTTTTGCTTGTGTAAACTATAATAAAGACAAACACAAAATTCTTAAGTCAATTTAGACTCCAATACGCAGTTTAGAGAATACACGATAATTTTAGAATTAATATTTTATCTTCTATGATCCCCTATATACATGGGGATAAGCTTATTATATTTCTTTTTGGTATGGATTGACAATCGACATAAATAAAGATTAACTTTATATAATAAATGGAATTAGGATAAAATAAACTGAATTTTTCGCTTGTGCAATAAAGACAAATACAAAATTCTTAAATGAATTTAGACTCCAATACACAGTTTAGAAAATACGCGATAATTTTAGGAATAATATTTTATCTTCTATCATCCCCTATACACGGTAAGCTTATACTCCTTTTTTTGGTATAGATTGACAATCGGTATCCTCTGCACATAAATATACGTATGTAATACACCAATTGCGCAACGCAGGTGAGGTGACACTGTGTTTCTTAAAATAAGCGGAGTATTAGACAATTATTGCATAAATCAGTGAGCGAACGGTCCGCACTGGGTATAATCCCGACCCGACTACTGGGTGGGGGGAGGTGTAATCGCGAGCAAGAGACACGGTTTTTCTTTTAATCTACCGCTACGAGAAACTCTATACTGTCGTCACACTGAAAAAAAAAGTGTATGCAGCACGTTGTCTATTCGCCGTGAAATAAAGTGCAACGAAGGGCGCTTGCCCAACGCGGGTCGTCCGCCGCGTTCGTCGATCGACCCCGGTCATCGATCGCGATCGCGAGACCGCCGCCACGGTAAACGGCGGTCACCCTCTCGACGGCGGCGGCGACCGGATCGCGTTGCGATCGGCGGTCGGTTCGTTCTCATTAACGTTACGTGGATCTCATTCGTGTGAAATCAAAGCCGCCTGGCGTCCAACGCCTTGTTGAGGTCACTGACTAGCATGCCGAGGATCGGTCTGTGTTCGGAGTCGTATCGGAACACCGAGTCCAAGAATTTGGGATACGCGAGGAAGTCGAACACCTGGTCGCAGCGCTGCGACGACTTGTCCGTGAGGTGCGGCTTTATCAGCTGCTGCAGCAACGTCCTGCAACGTTCCATCGAGCCCGTCAGGTACTCCTGGTCGTAACTGTAATCCACCTCGTAGAACGACACGACAGTCATCGCCACTGTCCCCAGAGCCTCCCGGATCTCCTCCAGCTTCGCGACGTCGTTCGTATGGAACTGATGGCTGCGCTGCACGAGTCCAATCTACGGATGAACGTATATATGTTTTATGAGTTATAATTTATACATCTAATTTCAATTCAATGAAAATTAATACAAATCAATACAAATTTAATTACACGCTTAATTTGTATTATAATATAATCGATAGCCAATCATTGGATAATAGCCAATCATTTAGTATTATTCCGATTTTATTATCACATACGAATAATAGGGATAATTTCAAAGTAAAGAGAGATGAAATTTTCGAAATAAACAGATATTCATTAAATTAAATGTATTTATCATCTCATCTCGATTAAATAACGCAAATACTAATTATTGAAATACGATTTAGAAACAGAACAGTTTACTGAACGTCATCTTAATTATTTGAAATTTACGTTTCTTTTAGAATTTCCATTCGAGATAACTATAAGAATAAATAACTATAAGAATAAATATGTTAAATAAAATTACAATGTAAAATATCTGGCTATTAATTTTAAAATAATGCAAATCGATTAAAGAGGCAACTATGAGAGAGCATCACGTAAGACTTGTTGCATTAAAATTATTACATCATTTTATTCATTGTATCATCATATTCTGTTACATATTCTTCAATTTTTTTCTTAAACCATACATTTCGGCCCCATTCGGGCTTTTTTCAACGATAAACAAATAATTAAATAAATTCCGCTAATATACAACGCAATAACTAAATTATTCCGCTAATATTCGTCAATATGTAGTTTCGCAATGTGTGAGCTGGACTTCCAATTTCAAGATTGCAAGTGATTCGTTCATTACAGAAACAGTCAAGATGCGTGTGAATTATTAAAACAATGGATTTTTTAGTTATGTCGTAAAATAATAACCGGACTGATCTTAATACTTCTGTTGTCAACTTTAAAATGATTGACTCGTAGTTATGCCTTTTTAATCGATTTGTATTATTTTAATATATGTTATATTGTAAGAATAAATAATATAATATAATAGTTTCTTTTATGATGCCCTTCTTTAATCGGCCTGAAGCTCATTGCGGAATCTCTCGTCGATTAAGTCTCGATTCTGAAATGCTTTATGTATGTACCTTGATGGACAATTTGATGATGTTCTTGAGGACTTTTTCAGGTTCCTTCTTGTCCAAGTGCGGATTGCTCTTGACGGCGCTCTCCATCAATTTGTACAGATTGTCGAGCAACGACGTCGTGGCGTCGTCGATGAAGAGCGACCGGCCTGCGTTAGTGGACACTATGCGGCCGAGGAGCTTTTTCTGGGCGCGCAGCCCTAAGTCGCGGGTGCGACTTCCGCCACCGGCGGCGTACGACCCCCCGCCGCCACCTCCACCTCCGCCCCCGCCGCCGCCACTTCCAATTGTGTTTGCCGACTGCATCACTGCAATATTTTCGCACAGTGAACGACCGCCCCGCTCGTGTGTGTATATGTGTGCGCATTCTCGCTTTTATTTAGCAATAATCGCGACCCTGTGCGACTCCGAATTTTATTCGCTCGCGGCGAAACTCGGGGCGTTCGGTAAAGGCCTTCAACCGTAAATATCGGAAATAACGAGTTTTCCTTGCAATCGCATCTCCATTTTCAGTAATTTAATAATCAGTAACAACGCTACATTTAATATTGAAATGTATACGAATCCGATTTATATCGATTTAATATGAATTTTATATTTTTTGTCTATTTAATATAAATTCGATACTTTAGAATATTTGACGTAATGTGTTGCGTAACGTATGGTATACAAGATTGCGCTTAACATGAATCGTAACGTCTCAGCGCTAAATATACCGTGAAAAAAAAAAACTGGTCGCTTCCTTAAATCTATACGGTTTAACAGCTCATCATGAGTGAGGGGACAAAAGAATTACGCGTTCGAATGTGGCACAAAAGTAGAAAGTCTGACTGCTTGGGGAGACGGAACGTTACAATTTCAGCCTCCTGAGAACGGCGCGAAAGCAGAGCCTCGTCTCGACGGGGCCTTTACGGTGTGCGTACATATATATATGTTTCTGTTCGCACACTTCGTACGATGAACTCACCATCAAGCATCGGTAGACCACCGTTTCCTCTGGATCGTGGATAGCGGGACGGTTCAAATTAAATAAAGAAGCGGCGAGAAACTGTGTGACTGTGCAGCGTGAATAATGGTCCGGGGCAAACTCAGGCAAACGTAACTAAAATAACCAAGGGTTAAAAAAAAACGGCGAGCCGTTAACGATCACACATGCGTAACACAAATGTTGCTGAGTGTTCATGGAAGTGCGCGAGACACGATGTACAGCGGCGTATCTTCGCTACCTTGATTGCAGTCGGTGACGGCCACTAAATGATAGAGCAACCAGCTCTGCAATTCCATCACGGCTGTGCCCCACGCCACCTGCAAAAATTATAAAAAAAAAAGATTAAAAATGATTAATAATGAAATCTGTAAATATTTGTAAGATATGTATCTATGTTATTGTAAATATTTGTAAGATATACGAAATATGTAAGACGCTAACGCAAAGATTTGATAAGAAAATTGCATTTCCCAGAAAGTTACGTGGATAAATAAAGTTTATATCGCAGAGTTCGTTGCAGAAATAAATATAATTAAATAATAATAATAATAAAATTATTTGGGTATAATAAAATTATTACACAAATTAATTTCCATCTGATTATACAATTAATTTATATTATAATACAAATAAGAGAGAGAAAATGAAAATATCGTTTTTAGAAATGGCATTAATATCGAAAGATATTAATTATTGAAAGGCATTAATTATCGTCGATTATAAATTTCTTTCATTTAAATTTCGTATATATTCCATGTTTCGTATATATGTAATATAACATGCTATCGAAAATAGAGAAATTTTTACGACTTCTTCATCCGCATACTGCAATTTCATAATAGTTTAATTAACGTGAGGCAAAACGAGCAATGCATTTGCCCGAAATGCATTCGGCGAATCGTTGCCCGGTTCTTCGAAACGCAAAGCCGCCACAAAGCGGGCCGAGATAAAGTTAATTACGCTTCGCTGCCCGAATTAAAAGCGCATCATATAAATCGATTGGTTCATAAACCGAGTTTATTTTTAATACGAGAAATAACGCTGTCGAATGACAATATAAAGATTTCGCATGAAACGAAATAATAAATGCCGAAGGAATAAAAATTGTCACGGATACCTACTTCTCCCACACGTCCGTACTTAAAAAGAGATCACAGAAAGGTATCCTTTATGTTTACCTTCGTGCCTTGAAAATACCTCATAAATGCCACCTACAGTCTTTTACAATGCTATAACAGCCTTGGCACAGTTAGCGGCTCTTTCAAAGAATAACTTCGGAAAATACGATGTTTGCTGTTTTTGTTACGTGATACCTTTAAGCGCGAAATTAATCGCTCTCTAAACCCACGTGAATTCATCTCTATAGATTTGTAAAAATATTTTCAAACGTTGATGAATGTTTGTTCACAAAATATCACGTTTTTACAGATCTGACTCGTACATTTCTTTTTTTATTTTTTCAGAAACTCGAATTCCAGTCGAAAGGGACGCGCGGACTCGGGAGGAGCTCTCCCTTACGGGCGTACAATTCGTCTTAACGAGTGCGAACGATCCTAATGCTGGAAATGAAGTGTAATGCGAGCCAAACGACGTCCGTGTCGCACGCTATCATTCGCGTCTATACATACACACGTGTAGGTACACACGGGCGTACAATATAAGGCACTATACCTTTGCCGGAGTTGGATCGATTTAGTAAGGAGCGTCAAGGCGAGCCAGAGACTCTCATTCACCTTTGCACGGCCGAACTGACAGTGAGCAATCGACTAAAACTCAAGCGATTCGCGTCGGAATAGTGGCAGTCTCTTCCGTAAATTTAGATCCCGTTATTTCAATAATTCAATAAATTAAATTCCACGTGCGCTATTATATTATATAAATCAGGGAAATCTCTCAGATTTCAGGAAAGATAGCTGAAAGCTTCAAAGATAAATAGCATTAGTGATAAAAGAACTCAGAAAAATATTGGATATTAACTATAAACTTTATAATATATCTATATATTCGGCACGCATATCAATTCGCTATGATATTTAATTTTTCATGCATCAGGATATTTGTGAAACTCGAAACACTATTTTAATAATTATCAAAATAAGAGAAGAATAATACAGGAATAATACAGGATTAATACTGCAAATAAAAAAAGAGAAAAATATATTGACTATATATCGGATAGAATTAAAAAAGAAGATACTTTGATTTCCATTTTCATCAGAAAACGCCCGATTAATGCCACGTTAATTCGCTTCGTTATAAGTATCGACTTTTGCGAATCGTACAATATAACCCTGGCTGCTCCCGAATCCTGGCCGCCCCGGACGAAACCGCACAAGGGATAATGCGTGAGAGCGCGTTATGAATGATCGATCGCACCCCGGACACTTTCGCTCTCTCTTTTCTCCTCTCCTGCCCTTTCCGCGCGGGGCCGTCGAACGGCTTTGTTTAGGCGCCCACGTCGGTGCTTTCGGGCACCTGTTTGTTGTCGCGTGCTCGTTCAAACAACGCTGATCATCGGCCAATAGCCGATTGTCCATTGCGCCGGACTGCGCAATTTTCTCTCGTGGAAAATACACGTCGAGAAAGCCACCCGACGCGAAAATGTCACGTGCAAAGGCGAAATTACGCACGCGGCGAATTATCGACCGTCCGGCCGAAATGGAGGAATACATTTTTTTTCTTTTTTTTTTTTTCGTCGACGGGTGATTCGCAAATATATGTGCGTATATATTCGAATTTAATCTCTCGAGATAAAGGAGAACATATCGTATTTTGGAGGTTCTATTTTCAGCGAGAGAAACAAATAATTTAATTTAATTGAAAAATACGTTTTATGAAACGTGCACCGTGACAGCGAATTGATTGACAGCTGCGTTTCTCCTTTAATTTTTATTATACATCAGAAACGTACTTATCGGTCGTCGTAAATATTTGCGAAGACAACCTGATTGCGGATTTGAGCTCGCGGAAAACATCGCGCTGCCGTCTTTTTATTTCTAATCGCCGATGGCAATCGTACAAGGATAAGGAAAAAAAACCGACTCTCGTCACGCGCTAGCGGAGATCCGGTTATTTCGCAGTATCGAATAATTAACTCGAATAAACTGGAATCTCTTGAGGCAACTATTTCCTCGCCGTATATATAATACATCTTTCACGACCGTCCATCAGGTGGCTTGTGTCTTCGGAATATTCGATCGGCCGGCTATAAATAACCACGTGTATCTCCCGTGATTGATTCGATTTACCTTCCCCGTACTGATTCGATATGTACATGTCCTCCGAGAGCCTTTCCGTGAAAAACCGCGTTCCACGAGGACCTCCCGGTCGCTTCGAGGAAACCGGTTGGCTGCCGACTCGGGTCTTCTTAAAACTTATCCCGCAGTACGATAATCCGATATGCACAACGTTCCTAGAATATTGCGAAAGAGTCCGCGAACATATCCAATTAATTTGGAGATCGAGTCTTCCTTCGCGAAGAAGCGCGTCATTTCTATGTACATAACTGAATCCATTTAAATTATCGCAAAGTTAATAGTGTTACTTAACCGAATTATTGGAATTATACCCGTAATTTTCAATAAACATTCTTTAAAGCTCTCGACAGAAAATTGATTTTACGTATAAACTCAACTGTTTTCTTAGTCAAACGAAAATTATAATAATAATCACAATCATCAATTAAAAGTCATAAAAGGCATATAACGTATATAAAATGTATAAATTCGTTTGGAAGTTCTCGCAAATTCTTGCCTTATCCTTTCATCACTCGAATTTATTCGAGCCTTCAAAAAGGACCGGGAGTCCCAGCTCGTGGAAATAATTTCTACGCTTCTTGCCGACATATAATGCTGAGCGGCTAGCGAGATAATTAATAGGTATTTTCCTGTATCCGCGACCTCGAGAATTGCGCTTTCAAATTGCACGGCGGTTTCGGAGCATCTATACGATGCTCCGGTGCTCGGCGCGACTTGTCGCGAAACAATGCGGCCGTAAATAAACTGTTGGCCGGGGGCAAACGTAATTATCGGTTCTCCATACACGCGCGCCCGCGTTTCAAATAACGTTGATATACATATACTATATACATATACTATATACGATACGTATGTATATCGATGTGTCACGATACCATTTTGCTCTTCCTCCTCAGGAAGGGCAGGGTTTAAACGTTTACGTCAACGCCGGGTTAAACGTTTCACGTCGACGTCATTGTAGCGACGGCGCTCGTTAGGCGCGATTCCCGTTGCGAGAGAGAAAAGAGCGGGAAATTAAAGGAGAGAGAGGTTCCATTCGCAAATTACTTTGCCTCCATCGCGATACACACGTGGCTGAAAACACGCGCACCAATACAGACACGCGCACTTTGCGCATATAACGTAAGAGACACGACACGACGATGACACGTACGTTATTCCTCGCCTCGCGATGACGACGACATCGCGTTAAAAACAACGGTGCACGGCGCGGTTTACAGTCGTAAGTTTCGCGGACGGGTCTCTCTCTCTCTTTCTCTGCGGGGACCCGTCACTTCTAAAATTAGTCGCCGGCTAAGCATTATCTGCCTTCCCATTATCGCGACAACGACGACGGACTCGCTCTTCCAAGGACGATGATGCGACTAACAATCAACATTTTCCGATATCCGTAAATTTAGCTCGGTCGTTTAACGGGAAACGTCGCCCGGTCGGTCGGTGCGACGATCGGCTTTTCCGCGAGAGTGAAACGGATATGTCGATACTCGTGGTGGCAGGGTCAATCAGGGCGACGGGGGTGACACGGGGAATAAACGGCACGACGGCGGTGATACGGCTTCTCGAAGCCGTCATCGTACGGCTGTTAACGAAAATTATCTCTCTCACAAAAATCGCGTTTGGAAAGACATTATATTTCTATTGTTGTGAAAATTGCAATATTATATTTATCTCTGGGTCTCGCAAGTGTCCTTTTATATTAAGCATAAAATAATGCTTAATAATTTATTGCTAGGTTGTTTACTGGAAGATTCCTACCGACGGGAACTTCGCACGCGCGCGCGTAATAAAGTCATCGCAGAATGCATATTTTAGTAATTTACGGCCAAGTTTATCAAGCTGTTGTATTTTTAATCTTGCAGGAAGGCTAAAATAAGGGAAAATAACAGAAATAATAGCAGATTAATATTAATAAGATTTTGCATACAATATCACGGAAAATGCACGGTATAGCGAAACGTACTCTGTAATAATAGTTATAGGTATTAAAAATTAACATAATTACCCCTATAATTCGAAAGAAATATAGAGGAAACATCGGCTGCGTATCGCAAGCTACAATC